TACATCATTGGCATCACCGTGTTGTGTGTTGCATCCTTGTTTGCCAATATCAGCGGCTTCTTCAACCCATGAGAAGACTGGAGCAGAGAGTGGCAGTGGCCATGATTGGTTCTTAGTTTCTTTATGTTTCTTTACAAGCCTCCATTCCATCCGGGGATGCGATCCGTTGTCCCTGACGGAGCAGAGGAGCAAGCGAATTGGAGAAGAAATCGAGTGTTTGAGGGAACAGATGGGAGCAGGAGATAGGCATGTTTTCCATAGCTGACATGTCTTTCTTGCAATGGGTCCTGGTTTCAGGGTATGTCTTGTTTGGATTCCCAAAGATTTGGTCTATGGATTCTTATAACATGTTTTTTGCTCTTGATCGGCTTGATCCGTTTTGCTCATTGGCGGTGATATTTATTGTCAGCGTACGTCTCTCTCCGTATTGCTTTTAGCTTGAACTTGAGCTCTTTGAAGGCCACTCCTGTGCAGCTCTCTTTGTTCGGTTCAACGTTGGTTCTTGTGGAATCCATGGTGACTTCAATTCCAATATCGATGTTTTACCCGCCGAAACCCCGCGTGTTGTGAATGCCTTTCGCTGGACGGCCCGCCGTGGTGTGAGCGGCTGGGTGGTGGGTGGCCCGGAAGCAAGAGGTTTTATGGGTTTTTGAGGAATACATGCTTCTGATGATCATGCAATTTTTGTTCACCCATGACACGGTGATTATCGGAGACCATCACATGTTGTGGTGAAAGGTTTTTGTTTGTTCGGACCGTGTCTGCATCGAGTGCAGACCTGTGAGGCGGGGAGGTGTTCGTGAGGTGCTGTGTTGAATTGTTTGATCACACAGATCATGTGCTGCATGCCATGGCATCGTCCAAGAGAAGTCAATGCCAGACAGCTAAGACCCTTATATGGGATCGGTGACTCTTTAGCCTTTAGCCATTTTGACTGAGCTCTACTGGGGGCCACGGGGGGTTGAGAGTCGGCCAAGCTCCTTCCAGGACTCAAAACATCAGGAGCCACTGACTTAGTTCATCAGAGCCATCCGTGTTTTTCCATGAGCGTCTCCGTTCGTCTGTGAGGTGAAACTCCGTTTGTGACTCGTCCAAGTTACCGTAAGCGGAATTCAGTGTGACACACCTGTTCACCTTCCTTGCTGATGGATGTTCTGCGCGCCAGAGCGTGTCCTCTTTGTGCAGGGGGCGCCCAATCAGTGTCGATGGTGGTTGGGACGGGGGTAGTTTAGAGAAAACAAAGCATGGTGAGACGTTTGGGATTTTGCCCCAACACTGATGCAGTCCAACCATGGCACTCACTGGCACCCCAAGATGACTTAGACAGATGGGGGTGCATATAAACCACATTAAACCACCACCGAACTCGGGATTGTGCCAATCTACTCTTAATCCACTGCAAATTTGCTCAGATTCTTATGGCTGACCAAGTCGTTTGCAATCCCAAACCAAACAATAGAGCAGATGAGCTTTAATAGGGGATCGACATCCGACATGATCCAAAAAAACATCCAAGAGGATGAATGGCTTTTCCAGAAACCGAAGCTGGAATGCAGAAATCGACACCCTACAGTTCAACGAGGAATTCACTTTCATAATCCCCATGTAGACATATCATAGACATATCTAGACCATGGCTGAAACGTATTGCAAAGCACACGTTTGTTTGATTGTGTTTGTACTTGTTGTTTCTAACATGTATGCCTCACATGCACACCGACGGGTGAAACGGACCGACGAACATGACGACACTGCTCACCTCCATCAGCCTCTGCGTTCCGGAAACCTCGCACCTTGGTCTTCTCACCCTCGGCTTCCCGGCGCGGCCGATGGCGGCCGCTCTAAGGCCCTGAGGATCCAAGGTTGTCGCAAGGATCAGTTGGGACCGCCTGGTCGCGCTTGGGTCGGGCAGTTCGGGTCCGCGGGGTGCAGTTCGGCGGTCAGAACGGACAAGGCAGGGGGACAGGTGGAGATGGAAGTTGTGACAGGTGAGATCACCCACTGAGTGGTTTTGGGAGTTTCTTTTGAGCAACGAAGGGTGACAGTGGAGAGGAGGGGCAGAGAGGTGGAGAAATTGAGAGGGAGAGATCCATTTGATATGTACATATGTATGCACGTTTGCTCAGTTTCATTGTTGAGGTTTGACCTTGATGCAATGGCCCTCAAGTACTCATCGCAGATGACACTCAAGTTAACATATTTCGCACCTGAAACACTTTCCCAGAGGTCCGTGGGTTGCGTTTGTTTGGGTTGTAAGTTGTAAACGAGACATTTTTGTTTGTAGGACCTTGCTATGCTACTGCTATGTGATTGTCCGCAGAAAACCAACGTGACAGCACAAAACAAAGCAAAGCACCTCAGGTTGCCGTTGCTCCTCAAGGACAAGCCTGGGTGCCTAAGCCAAGCGGAGGAGCTTAAGGCTAAACAGAGGTTTGAACTGGGTTCTTGTTCGAGAGGATGTACGGATTTACCATTCTATTTACTCGAGTGGCTGTATAGAAGACAACGGCACACGGTTGGAATTGGTGTACTTTATAATATTTGTTCATTGTGTTGCATTCTCCCAGAAGAGTCAAGAGTCATTTTGGTTTTTGAGGGTATCACGAGCCGTGGTAGTGAAGGGCTGGGAGCCGACATCAAGATTTGACAGCTCTTCTTCTGGGAGCCCATGGATCCCAACCCAAGCCGTTCGGCGACGCTTCTTCTTGGTTTGATACACCTTGTGGAACATCCACATAGTCAGTGAGCTAACTAGGAAGTTATGCAAAAACAACGTGTTTTCCATCAGCACCGGCTTAACAGCAGAAACCATTGGGGAAACAAATCGACCGAATTGTAGTGATTGAAGCGATTTCAAAAACCATATATGTTGGAGCTGTGGGATTTGAAAGCTACTGAAGCTTTGTGTTGCCTGCTTACTGCGCAGCCTTCCTTGCACCACACCAAGCAATGCGATGTGCATAGGTCCTACAGCGAAGCCACGCGCGGGACTGCAGGTGCGCTTGGGTGTTTCTGCAGGCGGCAGTTCTGGAATCTGCCCACCTCAAGAACCAGCCTTTGCACGGAAAGTGGGACCTTTGGACGGTGAATGTTCTTCGGCACTGCAGGGTATGTTCCAGTGCCATGTGTACCAAGTAATTACAACGCAGTCAACAGCTTCTGGGAACCACGGCCTAATCCCAACCAGACATTGGATGCTTGACACATTTTTTTTCACATGGCGCCATGTATGTGTTCTTAGAGAGTGTTTGACTCTCTACACACAGGACTTGTTGGGGACTAGACATTGACAGGTTGCTGGCAAAGAGATGCAAAGAGACCTTCTGAGATCAGATGAAACAGGTGCTAGACGCACGATCACGTAAGTAAGCCACTGTGGCGTTGGACCTCGCCGTGAAAGCACTGAGACTTTCACAAACCAAGGGGCAATGTGGTATTGGGTTAATATGGTTAAACAAGTGGTTAAACAAATGGTTAAATATAAGATATATATAATTGATGTGGATGATATTTTACTGTAAAGGCTCGAGAAAAGATCGACGTTTTCTTGACCATCGTTTTCGTGGAGCACGGTAATTGCACTATTACTATCATGTTTGGATTGCGCATGAAGGGCATGAGTCCGTTGAAGTAGACAAGCTCCTCCACAAATGGGTGGGCTCTCCATTTTCAGGTTGGGCTTCGCTTCCCACCCCCTAAAAGAGTGGTCTTTCCAAAAGATCGGAGGCCTTTGGACCTTCGGTATCGCGGTCACATTCACAACGTGAGGGGGGGGGGGCAACAAGCCCACTTACTGGGGAACAAACACATCCATTGGTCCACATTGGTCGGAAAAAGAAGCATCGACCGACAGGACGTCCCCATCAGACAGCGACGGACATCAACCGGGGGCGGCGTCGACTGGCCGAGCCGAGCGCCGAGCTACCGCTAGGCACCTGCTGTGTTTGCTTGGGCCTCTCCAGCGGCTGGCAGGAGAGAGCTTCTTTTGGTGCGGCAGGTGTGTCTCTTTGCTATGGTTTGTAACGTACTCTACTCAACTCCTATTGATGTGTGCACAAGCATATACGAATTATTACGATATGATGTGTTATTATTGGAAGGTGTTTCTTTGAATGATTTTCTTATAAACTTAGAAGTTCTTTGATCTGCAGGTGAATTCAAACTACATTAGACGCTGTTCGTTTTTGTAGGGTACCTTCTGAGTCTCCCGATCCAAGATGCGACATGTGGAGGCTGAGGGAGGCCATGATGCTTGGCCAGAAGTACTCATTGAGGGCTGGGAATTCATGAATAGGTGTACGTTGCTGTTAAGGTAGACAAGCTGCCACTATTGGTTGAAGAGAGGGGGGGGTAGTTGGACAAGAAACTGATTGAAACAACAAACTTCCTCATTGCCTAAGCTTCGCATTCATACCATCACACCTCGGCAAAGATGACCTCCTGACCCCAAGCTCTTCATCTATGAAGTCGATGGGTGAGTGCAGATGGGATTATATTGGTATGTTCCAGGACCCTCCAAGGGGTGGTTAATGGACACCCCTGAACAGCTAAGGGGCTATAAATAGACACCCCAAACGGAGGGTCCTGGTTGCTATTGTTAGTATGTTGGAGTCGGGTCAGACTACATTTGTCAGGCTACATCCGTTTGCATCAGGACGGCTTCCAAGCATTCCTGCTGCAGGCGCGCTGCTTCCAAAGAATGTGTAGCTGTAGTACGCACTGTTGGCTTGGTTGGGCAATTTCTGCTTATCTGCAAGTGTTGTGAGACCATGTTGGGGCAACAAACTTCGACTGAACCGTTTAGCCAAAGAGGGAAAAAAAGCCATCGCCCCGCCAAATCCAGCCACCGCCACGTCATTGGGGTGTCAGAATACATTTCTATTCAATTTACAGTGTGATGTCCTTAATCATGTGCATGAGTAGTTCGAGGCAATGTTCGAGGCACTTGTAGATGATTTGCTTCTTGTGATCTTTTGCGGCAGGAACCTAAGCTGGAAGGAGGATACCAGCAGGGACTCCTGGAACATCCGAACGAACACAGGAAGGAGTCGATCCTTGACGGGTGCATCCGTTAGGCAACACCTTTGCAGTTTGGTACCTGAACAGACGCGGAGGTGGCGGCCAATCTCAATGGATCTCAATGGGTGATACCGTCATACCCAACATACTGAACTCTTGGCAAACCATGCCAGTCAGCAGATCTTGAGCAAACACCCCCAAGACGATCAATGCGCGACAAATGGAAAGATTTGAGCCAAGAGTTTTCAGTTAAAGATAGAGTTGGCACCCGGGAACGACAGGATGCCGAGACCTTGTTGTTCACTCGAGGCTCAGTTTAGAGGTCGTATCTAGTTCGCGCCTGTTCACTTGTTGCTTCTTCAAGAACGACTCCCCATTGCCGAACGTACCAGTATGCTTGAGTCTACCCAGCAACAGTCAAACAGGGCACAAAATGAGAGCCATGGGGTGAGTGGCACTGGCATGCATGATCTCAAAAAAAGCGTAAGATGGCGTCAAAAACCAGAGTCCCTTGCACCAGGGCAGGTTGACCATGTCAGGTAGTCTATTCAGAGTCTATTCTTGGTGGTCAACCACGGTGTCCCGGGTGCCGACGCGTCCTGCGAGCCAAGGCTCAGCGTCGAGCTGCCTGTGGCGCTCGTCCTGCGAGAGTTCGGGTGACCTGACGAGGGCCGAGTGCTGGCCACCAGGAACAGCTGGTGACGGAAGCACCGAGGGAAGCTGGTGACCAGCACCATGTATGGGTTCTACTAGGGGCTCCTGGCCCTAGTACTAGGAACAAGAAGCTACTAGGGGCTCCTGGCATCGCTACTAGGAGCAAACAGGCTACTAAATTCTACTAAACTTGAGTGGAACAAAGCGAGCACGTGACCACCAGTGGAAGAACTTCAGACTGTTGATCCGAATTTAAGTTTGCAGCACATTATATATTACCGGTATGGCTTGTCGACATCACGAAACTTATAGACTTTGATTAAGTAGACTGACGTGTTTTGTTTCGGATGAACAGATCTTCCATTGCTGAAGCGGAACCGTTGGGTGCCTGTCAATCCATCCGAAACACGCCCGCAACTGAGGCAGATCTTCCAGTGTTGGGCCCGTGCTGAGGCAGACGATGGGGTCCTCGGTCGAGTTCACATAGCAGAGAAACGTGTGGTTTCACACGAAGAGTGCAGGAGATCAGCCCACTGAAGACTTCAACTCGTTGACCCTGAGGTTTGACAACGTAGAGGAAACTCTTTCGGGCTTGATCAGGGTGCCGTTCGACCCGAAATCCAGAAGGAGTTTTCTACATAGATCAGTGGCTCATAGATGCTCCATGGTTCGTTTTGGAGTACAGAGTGTACAGAGACTTGGCCTTGGAAAGAGAGGAACGAATCCATCGACTCTTGGGCGTCAACTCTGAACGAGAGAGGTCAGGTTTCTCCCAAAGAGCAGGTCGATGGAAGGTGAAATGTCATTCTGCTCTTCTTTGCTTCATAGGTGGAAACACATGACTGGGTCTAGTCATCCATAGTCCATAGATGTCGTACTCGTACTCTTCAAAGTAGAACGTGGATCAAGTCCAAAGACGTCGTAATTCAATGCAACTTGCTTGTGTCTTTGGGGACATGTTCACCATTCTATCATTTCTATCTGGACGACTCGGTTCGTTCAAACAGATCGTCTTGCCCGCCAAAGCACCATCGCCCCCAGCCCTATAAAACATAGATGTTTGGTCGCCGCAGGGTTTGGAGAAGCCCTTGGAGCTCGAGGAGTGGGTTTGGAGCTTCACCAAACAACAAACATTGTTTTGGGGTGAAAACCACACCCCAAAGCTACATGTAGTGAAGAGGTAAACATCCAGACGTAGTGGACGATTTATTCTTCACTTGTTTGTTCTTGCGTGTTGTTACTTCTTGTTTGTTCTATTCCAAGCCATTTTGGACCCACTGCCATCCGGATATGGCCAGGTCATGGGTTCATGCTCATGTTGGGCCCCCATGTGTCCTCTGAATTACTAGATCCACCACGTCACTATACCATGATCAAGCTTGCCCTGCTTCCGCTCGGGGAGGAGTTGCTACAATTCTCGTTGCAACAGGAACTAGGCTGGTCAGAGAACCGAGAAGTAGCGGCCGCTGGTTGGCTCGGGTTTGTCAGTTGTTGTTTTTTATGGTGGCTGCCCAGTTGATACATTCAATTGAAATGCCAACATGCTAGAACAGATCATGCAGGGAAAAATGCCCTGGAATACGGACCCTGGAAACTCGGAAACTGATGCGTGTGTTTGCTGCCTTGGCAGAGGACATTGCGATTGCTTTTCCCAAGCTCCCCACACCTGACGGCCACGCACACCCTTGCAAACCAACCAACCCCCCATGAGAGTAAAGCTAAGTCGAGCTCTGTTGTCAGCAATAAGGCTTGCCCATAGCTTTGGCTCCCTCATCGGTCATATAGGTCATGCTTGCTGCCCCATCTTTCTGAACCCGGTCGGTGGATAACTTTTAACCTCTTTGGGGGATAGGTTTCCTCACTAAAAACCAAACAGATTTGGAAAACTTAAGCTGACCCCTTTCATTGAGCCATTTTCTCCACTAAAGACATTTACTAGACCCTCGAAGCGCCTGAACACCTGGACCCGCCACCCTCGTGCCCACTCCTCCGCCCACCACGGCACTACGGTGTCCGGAGGTTCCTTGGGCTTCGCAGAGTGGAGTTCTTCAGGTCGATCTGAGGCGAGGCATGACGAGAACGACCGACCAGGTCGAAGCAAACGAGAACGATGGTCGGGTACATCTAATGGATGTGGATTATCATGGATTATCCTTTTACATCCAATTTACAATACAATGGAATCCATTTGTACATTTGCTGATGTACACATCCAGAGAGCAATGGTTTGTTGTTGGAATCCAATGGTCTAATGGAATCTATAGTAATTGGGAGCTTCACCGTTGACGTAGCCAGTGTTGCAAGTCTGTTGCGGAATTGCTATGTCAAACACTGATGGTGTCCGTCCTTGTGACGTTCAACAAAACAACTATCGAACAAACAACATGCAATCAACTCATCATGAAACTCTTTGCCGTTCCATAAGCTGAATGGGATAACTTGGCTGGCCACGGGTGCTCTGAAGCTCGTGGTCGTCGTCTTCCGAAGCCCAGGAGCCGGGTGACTCCGTCTTTACCCTCCATGCCGCAGGCGGGCCGTTTGGGGGGAACTTCAGAGTTTGACCGAAGCAAAGCTACAGCAACCGCAGGTTCCACTCAGTGGAGTAGGAAATCCTTACTTGCCGGTGCACGGAGAGGACCAACCGAAGGCTTTTGACGTTGGTTTCGCCCCGCTGTGGAGATTCGCCGTGTCTTGGTCGACGGAAAATCCGGTGGAATCGCCGGGTCTTGAGGAGGCATGGCACCCAAGAGTTGGACGCACAGCCAGGTTGAGTGGTTATTTGACGTGGATGCCACTGGAGTCCACACAGCCAGGTGTGTTGCAACCGGGTGTCTACACTGGATGCGTTTCGGAGAGAGTGCAATTGCCGGCAGCAACCTTCTTGCTGGACTGGAGAGATGAATTCAGTGAGTCAAGTCACGCACAGATCATAGAAAAATGATTCGCCATGTCGAATTTTATGTTATGGCACTCGCCAATATGATTTGTTTGATAAGCTTGTGAAACCTTTTGTTGGGCAACAAAGGCATGTGTTGGGATCAGCTTATCTGAGGGTCCGCATGCCTTTTCCATCAACAATGAACTCATTGCAGTGCAGGCGAATATTTGGGGACTGCCAACAAAGCCTTGCAGTGGCTTGGCATTATTTGGGCCATATATTTTTTCTTTTCAGATTTATATAGTGTCCTCAGGAAATGTTTTTGAATACCCCTAGCTTGGGACTGAGCCACCCCTACTAGTATCAACAAATTGTATTATCAGAGTTGTAATTTGCTGACCATCTCATTGTGAGAAATTTGGGTTAGCACCAGCGACGTGACTTGCAGATGCTGTTGACCACCGACCAGGCCAGTCTTGTTTTGATTTGTTTCTGAGGTCTCTCCAATCAAGCCAGGAAAAGGGCGGCAGGCGCGGTGGGCGGCAGTGGAGGGTGTGAGTTCTGCATGCAGGGCTTCTTTGGACGAAACGTGTCTGGGATGAATGCATATGACATGACATATTACTATAAGTTCCTTGTATACTCTAGGAATACCACGTGAGTGGGGCTGAACAGCTGAAATACATCACCCAATATCACCCAATAACCCATTCCTCACTCTTATAAACCATCCAGGGCTAAGCTGTTGTACCTGGAGTGTACCACATGAGTCGCCACTTGCTGACCTTGAGGGTAGACCCTAAGTTGACGATGTTGTTGAAGCTGGTTTGTTTGTATATAAACACATCCAACTGGTAGAGTCTAGTTTGAGTACCCCTCTGTGCAGATTGCAGATTGTAGTCTTGTCCGATTTCGTCAGCCAGTCTTGTTCAATCTGTCGTCAGAATCCGGAATCAGCATCTTTGCGGTGTTTCATCCTACATCCAACCTTCCAGCCTGGGAGTGTCCATAGAAAACATGTGGCAAAACCATGAACATGTCCAGGCAGACTATGTTCATATTGTTCATGCTGTGATGCGTGGAGTCGATTTGCAATCCTGAAGCACTGTTTGGAGCCATGAGCTCTCAACAAGGTCCAAAGAGCTGTAGTCATTCTCAAGCAGAAAACGTGATATCCAATGACCGCAGCAAGTTTGAGAAACCCAGTGACTTATGCCGGATGACATCTTCTGAAATAACTTCACAATCTGTTTGTGCAACTCTTCAACCCAACTTCTAGGCATCGACTGTTCTTTCCTCCATTGCAAGTGACCTCCAGTTCTCGCCCCTTCTGACGCCGGCGACCTGCAGGCCCTCAGGACGGTCAAAGAAGCGACGTCGAGAGGAGCGAAAGGAATCAATCCAGTGTAGGGCAGTTTGGTAGTTAGTAGCTTCTTGTTCCTATGGTTATTCAACAATGTTTTTGCTCAAAATGGGCTGTGGCTTGGATGGATTCTCCATAAAAAATTGGGCTGTGGTTTGGATGGATTCAACAAGGAGTCACTGCTTCAACAAGGAGTCACTGCTTCAACCAGTTTCCCAGTTTCTATCTCGAGAATTGATCGAACAGATGCATCCGGTGAAACGATCCTAAAGCGACATGTTAGAGTGTCCCCCATTTTTTTCCTTTATCCCTCGGAAATGTACATGATGTCCTTCCTTCCACGGGAGAGAAGTATACTGATCTTCAGAAATTGTAGACGGGTGTCTTAAGCTTGGATTTGCTTAATTAAGGAACAGGAGAAACATCAACAAATCATCAAACATCTCCCAAGCCCAAACCAGGTAGCCACTACATTCGACTACCACAACCATCCAGTCTGGGTGTCCTGGCTGGACTACTCTATACTACCTAAGGATCTCCAGACAGGACACCCAGACAGGATGGTTCAGGCAGGGATCCTTTCGCATGTCTCGTCAAACCTCGAATCGACTCAGGAGCCAATGGACCTGAACTCTGCTGGTATCGTGCAGGTGCGGTGCGGGTTCGGAGGGAGGCAGTGAATAAGTTCTTACATTTTATTGGTCAATTAATGTAAATAACTAGGATTCAACTTGTAACTTGGATTCGGACATAAGTGGCAAATTCATGCAAATTCTGGTAGTGTGAAGTTTCTGGGACGAAGATGCCCAGCAATGTTTCATAAGCCAGATTGAGCCAGAACAATTTTGAGTTCATCACGGTGACTTCCGGGATCGGCACTACAATCTGTGCAGTAAATGTGCAGCTCCTGCCACAAAAGTGAAAGAACAAGAGCACAAAACGCATTGTGCATGAAGATGAACCGTCCATTGGAAGGAAGGCGGGCCTTGTCGCCCGTGTGCGACAGGGTGGAAGCTTAGCCAGATGCGTCGACTGGTCGGTCGACTGGTCGAGGTCGATTCGTCCGTTGCGTCGGCTCGGAGAGGCACTGGAAGGCCTTACACCGGAGGAGCTGTGTAGCAAGCTGGGCCTGGCAGACCTGAAGGAAGGCCGGGAAGACCTGGGAGGGGCAGACCGTCCGCCCTGACTGGGAGATTCGGCTTGGTTTAACCAGCTGGTCCTCATGTTCACTCTTAACAGCCGGGAACAGCGAAGTTGGCATAAAGTTGGCAAGCCGGTGAGAGATGACCATTCTGAATGCCCTGGCTGGGAGATTGGGGGGGTTGGTTCAACTAGCTGTTCCCTTTTATGGCCATCCGGCAACAGCTAAACATCCTATGTCCGGGCCTTGCAAGGCACCCAGGGTGGACTGATTCATACCAGACATCAGACAGCATAGCCAAACAGATGCAAGCTGTAGATCCAAACAAAGTCCATGTCACATACACTTACGCAAGGTCGCTAACAGTTCCCTTTAAAGCTGGTCCAAACTGTTCAGAGGATCTATATAATCAAGTCTTGGCAGGATGTTGCAGGCTTTGAGGGTAATAGTGTATTTCTATGCGTTTCTCCTGGGAACAGATGGTTATGGGCTACGGGTCAATATTTCAGAAATGGCAAAGGTCGATGAACCTCCGTCAAGTTTCACTCAGCGAGGGTTGGATCGTTCAGGTGGTTTGTGTATGGCGATGGACAAAAAAACGGGGGTGTTGGGTTCAAACACTACTATCCATCCAGCTATGTGAGCTATCCATGGGTGTGGAATGGACCATGACAGAAGTTGATGATCCCAGGACACTGAGAAGCATGCAAACGGCAGGGATACATGAGTCATGACTCACGTGAGTCCAGCTGTAATGCACTGAAAGGCCCATACTGGATAGTGACGGACACATACTTAGAACAACACTTTGATAAGAACATCTTTAGAAAGTATGCCGGGAGATAGTTCTAAGTGTGATATTCCAAATTTTGCTGCTCTGTCAGTCGCTTTATACAGTTTGTAATGCTTGGGAACCAAGATTTGTTGAGTTGGAATGTTCGATCGAGATTCTTGAGAGCAGCGCTTGCCTCGCTTGCGACTTGTTAGCAGATCGACCATGAGTATGTCTTCTTGCAGAGTATATGCAGAGTATTTGTTGTTTGGAACGGAAACTGGCAGGTCTGCGAGATAGGGCAATCTCCGAGCTTTGTAACAGGAAAAAAAACACTCACAACAACCGTCTAAACAAGGTGACAATAAAGACACGCCAATCAAAAGTGAGAACATTCCATTTCACCTTTGTTAAGTCAAATCATAGACCTGTATTAAGAATAGTCAAACCCCGCCAGTTGGGAGTGAGGATTCCCCAAGCAATCAGCATAGAATCTCACATTGTGTGTGTGTCTCATGTCCAATGATGCTTCTTTGGATCATCTCCCAGGCTTCGAGATAGATGGGACCCAGAGCGCCACTTTGCAGTGGCGGATCAGCCGACAGGTGGGAGAGCAGACTAGGCGTGGATGATCAAACTATGGACTCACTGGTGATAGGAGTCCATCCGAATTCTGTCTCACTACCACTTCTTGTTGCTAAATGACTCCTTAAAGGTAGATCGTATAGCCGTATAGCATCGTATAGCGATATGATGCGATATGTATCTGTGCGCTTTTGTTGCAGGGTGTACCAGGTTTAGGCTGGGAATGCATGATGCTTGAAAAGCCTTCACCGCCGGAAGGAATTTCATAGAGTCATATAGGTGAACAAATAACACACATGAATATGAGGTGTTTTCATGTAAGCAGTATGTTTACCTTTAGACATCACGAGGAACTTCCGATCTCAGATGAGGACAGTAATGAACCATTCATCACATGTGGTCAGGGGGTTATCCCAATGGCTGCTTCATTGTACGTTCCTGTGTTTCATAGAGTCATAGAGATTGTAAAGGGCCCCAAGAAGGCACCCCGCATCACAGCACTATTATGTCCTATCTACATGCAGCTTGTGGGAGTTGAGCCATCTTGTAGGATTTGTGGGATTTGGAATGCTCAGTGTTCAATCCCATCCAACATCCATCAACAATTCACACAGAACTTGACAAAGTCATACCCCCAAGTAAATGGACAATGCTCTAAATTGTTCAACCCTGTTCTATTATGTTCTGATAGACTCCCATCCAGAATGCTTGTGTGCCTTGCTTTGCTTCAGGAGGGAATCTTCCTCCGCGGCCGTTACGTGAAGCTTTCACGGAGGAGAGGGGCGAAGAGCAGGTCGCGAAGACCTGCAACGGGTGTTTTCCAAGAAAGGTTCAGTGACCTGAAAAAGGATCCTACTGGGGTACCTATCTATGGGATAGTCCATAGTCAGCCTTTGTTGGTATCACGTGCCAAGAAAAGATCGAGGCCCTATCCACAGACAAAGAGGACACAGCAACCACGGCTGGCCTGTTAATTGTTTAAGCATGTTTAACCCATCACATGCTGGGGATTGTTCAAAAGACCGACGCATCGAATGAAGAGCACCTGTGTGAGGTGATTAACTGTTTGTCAATGATGTTGACACAGATCCCACGATTGCGTGCAGAGATGTCAATGCTAATCAGGGTGACTCTCCGGAAGCAAAGAGGGGTGGACAGCCACAGAGATCCATATTTGTCGGTTCTAATCACCCTTCTTTGTGATGGGAACACGTAGGTCTGGCGAGTAATGTCAGACCATTTGGGATCGGAAGTAGGGTACGACATGGTACGACTCAACCTTACTTCCAGAAGGAATAAAATCAAGATCCGTTCTCCGTTGTCCTCCACATCTCTATTTTGGGCGCAGAAAAGCACCTGAGGACCTAAACCTGGAATAAGTTTTGTCCAAACTCCACCTGTTTCCAGATTTGTCAAACTTGCGGTTGGTGGCTTATATGGTCCTGGTACACGAAGGATTGAGGCAAACTAAGGCATCTCTTCAGAAATAGCAATCCTATCCACTGTTGCCGGAAATGAGACAAAACATTCGCACGAAACATGGCAGTAGCAGACATCACGTTGGTATTCAGTGTTATATAGTGCTATGTAATGTATGATAGATATATATATGAGCCACGGTCAAAACATGCGAAGACCACTTTAGTAAAGAGGGGTAGGTTTGTGCACAAAACTCTGCAAAACGATAAGGTCCACCTCAAAACCGATAACCCCAGCGCTGTATATGGTCATAAGTATGCGACGAACTCAAAACGCTGTAAAACGATAAGGTCCACCTCAAAACCGATGACGTCCATTTTTTAGCTGAAGAAGAATAAGGAGTTTTGACCATCCCTCATATATATATATATTAATAGTTTTTAATATATAGTTTATTAAGAAGATATGCCGATCTACCCAACCTTGCATTGTCCAAAACATCCCTTCTGACGGCAACCAACGCCTCCTCTTGTTCGAAGGCTCCCGCAGTCGCCATGGCTCATCGAGGGCGAACGTAAGGGCGAGGGCTCCGTGGAGGTGCAGAGACAGCGCTGGCAGTGGCGTTGGCGTTGTGGTGTTGTGGAGGATAGCATTAGGTGGATGGAGTGAGCTGTTGTTTTGATAAATATGGTTTCCCTCCTCAATGGTTCCTCTTTTTTTCTCCTTTGCTGAAACATGTTGAGACATTCAGTCACAACAAAATCTCTAACAAGCACGACTTTGGTTGGTACAGGTTTTGATCCACCAACAGGACATATTTGTGGGGCATGCTGAGCCATGTCGAGCCTGTTTGTAGCAGCATGGCCCAAGAGTCGTCAGCTTCCCAAGGAACTGTACGGGGCCGCTCGATTGAGGTTCACAAGCCATGAAGAGAGCTACGGAGATGAAGGCGAAAGCCATGGAGATGAAGGAGTCGTACCCGAAGACGGTGAAGGTAGCTGACCGCCTTGTGAACATGGGGCTCAATTATTTGGACATCGTCACAGATGTTTCTTGGTAGCAATACCAGACCTCCTCCTGAAGCCTGAAGGGATTGTTTTGTTTCGCTTATGTGCCCGAAACCTGCGCGCGTATATTAACCTTTCAAGCATTTGTCAAATCTGAGGTCATCGTCGTGCTAAGCTATGGGTGCTTCACCAATAACAGCCTCACGATTTCCTGCAACAATCAGGACGTGTTTCTTTCAAACTCAACGAACAGCACCACAAACGCTACCATCACGCTCGAGGAAGAGGCATTGTGCCAACCTCATTGGTGGTGGTTTGGGATCGGGTTGAGTTTGCTGGTAGTCTCGACACTTGTGCAGGCCTGTTTTTACGGTGGGTTCTCTGATTCCGTGACATGGGGCGTTGTGTCTCTTTGCCAGTTGAGTTATGTCCGCGATGTGTGGCTGGCCACCCAAGATGATGACCCGAACGACAAAGGAGACGGTGAAGCGACTCCAGCAATGCTGAGAGATGTGATTGTGAAGCTCACAGAATGTGCACCCCAACTATATTTGCAAAGCTACATCCTATTTGCAGTCGGAGCTCACGGACACTTTGTGAATGTGTTTTCTACACTTGTCTCGGCATCATCCCTCAGCTACGGAATCGCAAAAAGATATTCATTTCTGGATCTGAAAGAGAAGATCCTGGTGTTCTTCTTCCTGGCAACGGATCAACTTCTCCGTGCCTCCGCGTACGCATTCATCTTGTCCGATGCCGTGAGGCCCATCGGCATCACCCTGGCGGTGCTCTTCCTGGTAGGCCTCACTGCACTCGTTTGTTGTGCAGGTGGTTCTGAGACGGGATGCTCGTATTTGTTGTTCGGACATTTGGTGCCTGTTTCATTTTTCCAAGTGGCGGACCCGGAGAAATCCCAATCAGAGAAACGTGCGTGGTTTCTTTGTTTGATTGGCCGATACATCGAAATGATCATCTATGGCCTTCTGGGCCTGACAGTGGCCACGACTTCTTGCGGATATGCACCTGTGAACGAAGTTGTGGCCTTCTTTGCCCTGTTGGCGGTGAATGTCGTATTATTGTTATTATTTGTTTGCTGGATTTGCAAGAATGGCGCTCTTTCATCGTCTATCATGCACAAGCGTCAGGAAATGGAGACCGAGTAGGATAGAGTCTGCCAGACAGACCTAGCCACTGTTTAGAACTGCCACCTGGGACGGGCATGTTCAGAATCACCCGACCTTCCATAATGACAAGATCCCGGATTCTCAAGGTGTCATTTGCTAACTTCTACCTCACACTTGATCCCCATGGTCCCATGGTTGCAAAGTGATCGACACAACTACCGCAACAAGAATGGATCAAAATTGACGGCTATTTGTTTGATCCGTCCTGGGTTTCAGACAGAACAGAGTCTCACCAGCAGCGAGGATTTGAGGGAATCCCACCACCGTTGCGAGCTTCCGGCGTTGGTCGGGAAACCGCGACATTACATGAAGTCCGAAAGAAGGATGCGACCGATGTTTGACCAAGGGAGTTTGCTGGCCCACTACAGTAGGTAACGGCTCATTGTCAAGACCTTTAATTACAGAGCCAGGCTCCCGCAGACAACAATATGAAATGACAAGTCTGTGTTTGATGTTTAATGTTCTATAGGACGGTTATTCTGCTACACTGACTGGCATGTTCCACATTCTACAATCTCAGGATGACTAATTAATTACGATTATATATGGTGCGTCTATCTACCTGAACCAGATAAACTCCTCCCCTCTAGCCACTTGTTCATGGAGGCCTAGTTCGTGAGTTACTAATAAACCCATTCGATAAACTAGACCAAGCTAGCCAGCCGACACCATTGCTTTCCTTTTATCCAGCCAATAATTTTTGTTTTCACCAGCGCTTTGCGTTGTCGGCGGCGACGCTGGTGACCCCACTCCTCAGTGTCAGGAAGACTTGGCCCAGCCGGTAGCCAAACACTTGGGCGCCTCAGAGGCGCAGCGAAGGGCGCTGTCTTACACAAGACGGCACAGAGGCTTGGGAATAACAGGGGCTTTGGGAGAACACATTGGAGTTGCTTTGGTTTCTCATTGTGTAGATTTGCCATGTGCATTACTAGTGTTTCCTTTTGATTCAATCGCTTGTGCAGCCCCTGAATTCTGATGTTCAGCTTTTGTTGGGGGCACTCAGAACTAGGGGAAGCAAGTCTTAGATTCTACGGACACCTGACTCACGGAAATACAGGGAAACGATTGTGTCACGTGTGTAAAAACAAGTTATGTACCTCTTGGTCGCTATCGTAACACACACCCCGTCCCGTCCTCAAGGGTACTCAACTCGAAGGACTGGTAACAGATTATAGGGCATCACTTTTACCTTCTCTTCCCCAAGCAAGTTTGTGAACTTCTTTGGTCAATCAAAGTAGTTCACAACGGAATTGGGCCGGACAGTGCTAAGTTATTTGGTTGCCTCAACAGGATCGGCACCTTCTTTTACTGAACGAAACAACTCCCAAACAGACGATTCACACCTACTTTGGACCTTGCCACCAGCTTGCAACAGTGGGTGTGATGGTTAGTGATGGCCAGTAAGGCCTCTAGAAATGGTATACGTATAGTTAAATAGTTGTATAAAATAGCTGTATCAACAAATGATGAAACATGTGTCTCCTGTAAACGCAACTCCTAAAATAACAACAAGTTGTCCAGTGAAGTTAGGGGATGAACCAGCCTCTCATGGGTTTAAGAGGGATTTGAACAGCATATTGGATACATGACATTCCACACAGCCACTCACACTGAGTAGGAGTGGAATCATGCTGTCCATTGCAATCTTCAGCCAAGTTTGGGTGTTACCTGGGGGGGAAATAGCTGGTTTGCTGGATGTATTGAGAGGTTTCTAGCCTACGATGTCCAACAGTTCGGCCAGAACTTGACTATCCACACTGCAGGCGACTTTTCCGCTAATCGGACTATCAGACGCATGATCGCTACTACCACAGCGCCGTCCATTTGGGCACCCCAAAGCATCCCCGGCAGGTCCGCTTTCACGCGGAGGGGCGGGAGGCCAGCGGCCAGCTGAGCTAGGTGATGGACGGACAGACCTTTGTCACGACGGACGGACGGTTCACTCCACTGGTGGCAGCGTTCTGAAAGAATTGGCCAAAATGGACCAAAGCATCCCAAATCTTTTGATGTTTGGAGCGAGATCTAAGTTTCTCAGGCAATAGCTTTGTATAGGCAGTACTACATAGGACCACGGAGTACTGAAGAGCATTGTAGGGCTGTAGTTTTCACACGTCCCCAGACTATTTCTTGGGCTCACCTAGAGTTAGCCCGGGATCCCACACAAACGTCCACTTGTTGGCTAGGACATCGATGTTCGTATGCTGGGTGCAGGGCGGCCCTTTGTGCTGGAGGCTCGCTGAAAGCTCCCTGGCAGCTCGCTGGGCCCTTTGAGTAAGTAAGGGAAGAGTACCTTAAAAAGATGATTTTTGATGAATTTCGGATAGTTTCGGAGTTCATGTTGGCTTAAATTAAATTGTGAAACCTGATTTCTTCGCTGGACACGACCTTGCCCAGAGCCGGGTAAAAAAGGGGCATTGTTGGAGTGGGAAGGAGCTAAGATGAGGACACTTTCGTTTCCATCGCGCCCGGTACATCGCGATCTAATGTGTGAAAACATCCATGAACATCTTGTTTAGTTCTGCATGAGATCAATTAAGAAGCCACATGTTCTATTGTGAGTTCTTCTTGTACTCCTGGCCCCCCTTGACCCATCTTGACCCTTTAATGTCTGCAGGGCCATTGCCTGTCATATCCAGTCGCCCTCCTCATACATGCTCGACGTCCTGATACACCTTTGCACCTATCGAGCGTGGATTGCAGAGACAGTGGCACCTCTGGGTTTGAGACTTGAAAGGATGATATCCAAGTCTTGAGTCTTCACGGATTCACGTCCCCACAACACACTTGCAAGCAGGGGCCGAGGCTTTTTAAAGCATCGCTCATGTGTGCAACGTGCAAAGGAGCTAGATACATAGATTGAGCATTGTATGATGAAGGCCAAGCAAAGTCCTGAGAGATGGAGACACCACGTGGGCAAAAAGGTTGCGAAACTTGAGTTGTCCCTAGTTTCATTCACAGTTGTGTTATTAGCTTCATTCATTGAATTTGGTCATGTGGAATTTGATAAGAACCATTATGTGTTGATTGACGTGTAGGCAGTAAGAAAACGTTCAACACTTGCCTTTTTTTTGCCTATAGTTGTGTTTGCCTTTGTGATCCTTTGCGAAACAAACATGGAGCCCATTCGGACAAAGGACATTCGTTTACTCCACCACCAGGATCCTCTGGACCAGTGGAAGGTCGGGACTCGTTGCAAGCGCTGCAGGTGCGAAATGCCCGGCGCGTGGCGGTGGACGTTGCAGGGGGATCTCAGCCTGAGCCGTTGGGCTATGGGTTGGGCCTGAGCCCGTTGCATGTGCCACCCGATGGAAGATTGAACTGATCGGCTGGGGTCGGCAATGGAGAAATGAGGTGCGTTCTTTGCAGACTGGGTAATTGTGAGCATCTTTGAAGACAAAAGGCTAAACAGATCAAAAAATGTATCCTAAAATGCTTGCCCCCTGTAAACTTGAAGAAATAACCCATTGGGAGTGGAGTTGTGTCCACATCCATAGAGGCCTTATGCAGGTTGCAACTCGAGCAAATGACTAAACATTTGCAGCTTTTCTCACTCTTTTCGAAGGAGGTTTCATACACCTTTGGGCATAGAAAGGGCCGCAGGTAAAAGACGGGCGACATTTACAAAACAATACATTTGCTTGGGCGGTTGTAAACGACCTCAGAAGCTAGTGTTGAAGAGTAAATTTAAGGCCATGTTCATAATCTTCACAACCACCAACTGTAGGAGGGAACATGGGGGAACATCGGCAGGTGAGCCAGAGAACCTTAGTGTGGAGATGAAAGCTTCGCCTTGCTATATTTCCACTATCAACCAGCCACTAGAGGGAGGATACCAGCTGATGACTTCAGTGCACGGAGAGGTTTGGTTTTGATCCACTGCAGAGTCCTCAGCCCGGAACCAGACATGTTGATGCCCTTGCTCAGGCTGAGTTGCAAGCAGCCATCAATGCCGCAGGCGAGGGATTAATGACCTTTTCGATGGTTCGCGGGTGGGCGGTCTATCGTTTCTTGAGGTCAGATGCAGAATGCAGATGCAGTCGAAGACTAGCAAAGTCTGGACTTGGAATCGAACAAATACTGTAAGTCAAAGACGTTTATACTACGCAGTGAATCCAGTATTACCCCTACTGTGTTAACCAGTGGTTCCAAAGACCAAAACCGTAGACCGAACGAAACCAACCGGTTATATAGTGGCAAGTGGGATCCACTGTTGCTGGAGAAAAGCAACACAGGCGTCCTCGGACCGAGGCACTCTTTTGGGAGAATGGCATGTTGAAGGGCTGCAGTTGGGAGATTTTCACACGACGGGTTTGTTTCTCCCTTCGTGAATACGTGGAGTCAGAGGAGGCCTAGCATGGCCTAGCGTTTGGTTTTAATTCTCCCTGAGGGCGCTTTGACGGGAGCCCATGCCGCCCATGCCCATGTCGTTTGTGTGTGGCCGACTATCGGTACTTTGCCCGAGCCGCGAGCCCATCAAAACACTGCAACCCTCAAGAATTTCAAGCATCTTCAAGCTGTACTCCATTGGAAAGATGACGAAGCAAGAATCCAATATGCCAACATGGGTCGTTCAACCCACCTGGTTCGCCCGACCAGCCCACTATATATGTGAAGGACGAAGACTACCAATGTAGGTTAACGTGCCCGGTCGGTCTGGTGCCACCGCCATGTGCCAACCTGTGTAACACATTCAAGCTGGCCAACAAGTGGCTAGGTCCATATGCCACCATCGTGACACCTGGGAGTCGGGAGCGGTCGGCTGCATTCCCCTTTCAGAGATTGTGGACCCGACCTAGGCAGCTGTGTTTGGACCTATAGCCAGCTGAGGTGGCGGTGGCACCGACCATGGCGATGATATATCCCATCCTACGAAGAATCATGTAAAATAATCGATCGAACTTGACGAGATACGAATACCAAAGCAGCCAGCTATGCCTTCCACAAAGTGCTTGGGCGATGGATGATGCGGGGAGTGGGGACCGTTTGTCATCACCATAACAGTACAAATCGCATCAAGGCGCTTATTTACTTGTTGCTGTTCTTCGCGTTCATGCTGCTGTTGTTAGGGGTGTTGCTTTCCCTCCTTGTGGTTTGCCGTGGTCTTAGTGGGCTTGCCGTTGTTCGGTCTTGTGCGAGGCAGCCGCGTGGAAGTGGGAGAATTGCGGCGGTGCGAGGCCAGGGGTGGACTGATCAGCTGGATTGATTGACTTCAGGCTATCCAGTTAGTTAATGTTAGTTAAGTATCATAATATATCATAATGTATCCGTTCAGTACCCTCATACCCTTGTGATGGACTAGCATTTCAGCTAGTAGTTAATTTATAGTATTTTATGGTATGGTTGGATTATACAGTATACACTGTATGATAACCATAGCAAGACTATCAGTATCTATCAGTATCTATTTGTTGTGATCATAAGTAGTCATACCTTTCATACCAACCGTTCAGGACCCTCATACCCTGATGTGATGGACGACAGTATGGCAGAACACCCTGACGGATGTCTCGCTGAATGCCTTGCTTCATTCAACAACCACTCGAACCAAACCGCGATGTGCTTTGTGGTCACCAACCACAGTAGTGGTTGTAGTTGTAGTGGTTGTAGTGCTTGTAGTTGAACCAACCACACTCTTCAACCACACTCCTCAACCAAACGTAGGTCACCAACTGTGAAAACCGGTCTCCCGTGGCAGAACTGTTGCTTCAACGCCCACGACGTGGCCACCTGGCTCAGCCGCACAAACACGTTCGTCGCGTGACGTGTGTCGTGTCGGCTCGGCATCCCATCATGGAGCGATGTGCGACGCCTTGTTCGTGCGCTCCGATGGGCTCTACGAGGTCTTCCTGTGCCATGGCGGCAGATGGCACAGGTGTCGTGGTGGCGTCGTGGTGGCTGTGTGTGTGTGTGGTGGCTGTGGCGCGTGGAGCCAATTTAGGTTCATCCACAACCACAGCAAATGATATATATATATATATAAAGACAACAACCTCAAAGGTTTCTTCAAAACATGAAGGAATCCTTTGTGTGGCCTTTTTGTTCCTTTGTCATATTAGTTTAACTTTAAATTGCAAGGCTCCCATGGAGGATGTTCAAATGTCGAGTCCACTGGGACTGCGAGGTTAGAACGGTCGACGGCGACGGTGGCTGCCTACCATCTAGTGGCTTCAGAGAAGCTTTGGAGGCGCGGCTGTTGGGAACATCGGTGTGTAGCAAGACTCACAAAGGTTGCCGAACGAACGGAGGAAGTCGGGGTGCCCCTGTCACATCCATTCACGACTGGGGACTAAAATCCACCCTTAGCGTTGTGACTCCTGGTATTCAAATATATAGGGAGACGCTGGACGGTCAAAATACAGAGAACAACACTGTGACAGATTGATGATGGCATGATGATTGCCGTCCTCGAACAGGGACCTCGACTATTTGTAGATCTTGTGTTTTGCAATTTGCCTCGACCCCAGGCAGTTTCCTCGGCTGCGCCACTTGTTCGGGATGAGAGACAGAGATGAGGACATTGATGAGACCAGCTGAACTCGGGGCTTCCCGGAGATCAGAGATGAGACCAGTCAGTTTTGTGGCGTTTTCCATTAAAATGTCCATTGATATATATATATATATGTCCAATTGATGCTTGGGAGTTCCTAATAGTTCCCTTGACTCCATGAGAACGTCCCAGCTCGGCTCTGAAAGTCAACATCCCGGTTCCAAGAAGTGGCAAGTCTCAAGAGTTTCCGACATTGAACAGTTCACAGATCTCCATTTGGGTGGCGATCTGTAAAACCCTGAGTGTTAAATCCATTCTGAGTGCAAATCAACAGTGCACCCATCCCCATTTTCTAGTGACATTGGGTGGAGAACGCTCCACAGTCCACCATCCCAAAACCTTGAGTGTAAAGGAAAAAAAAAACAAACGACCCCACACATGTGAGCGGGGCTTAGTGAGCCAGATTCGCCAGGTTCGCCACACTTTTTGGAAGTCATAGCAGTCAGTGACCGTCAGTCACAGCCATAGCCATAGCCAGGTCATGTTGAGCCAGGCCTGGTCGCCATAGCCAAGTCATTACCCCCCCACAACCGAGGTGAGTCCATCGACCGCTCAGAGCGCTTCCTGCTGCGAGCAGAGGCGTTTGGGGCGGTCTTTGGTGGACGCGCGGAAAACGCTTTGGTGCCAGGGGTGAAACGGATGTGTTGGCCAACCGAAAGAGCAGAGGGGGCTTAGTATCTCAGGTGTTTCTTACTGGAAATGACATGGAGAGGCTGTGGTAGGTCGTCGAAACGGCAGCGATTCATAGACCGCACTGGTAGTACCGAGATTTAAGCTCCGCGCCCATCTCCAAAATGGTTGGCTGTTGCATAGACATTGAAATCTGTTGAAACTATGTGTTGCAGGATGATTGTCCATATCAAAGTGTTTAGCACTTTGACGTCTCCTCGCAAAGCTGCAGTAGCCAGGGCAGCGCAATTGTAGCGCTCATGGGGTACTAAAAGGTGCAAAGCAGCTGTGGTCTACTATATAGACGCTGAGGGTCTACAATGAATAATATGACCAATATGAGCATACAGCCTGAGAAAGCTGTATATACAATATGAGCATACACCTGAACAATGAACAAGGCACAAAGGCACAAAGCATACAGATTTGCGTTGTTTCTTTGTCGCCTTGAGAAAGCTTGATTCAAAGGTTGATCCTGCCAATGGGGATGTGTTTGCTTTCAGTGCTTTGCACTGTTTGAACCACTGGACCCAGTGCACGCAGACACTCTTCTAATAAGCTACGGTTGCTGGAGACAATCTACTACTGCGCTGCACTATACTGCACTAAGGTTTTGCGGATTTTTAAGCGAGAGAGAGAGACCACATATTCACAAGATGAATTATGGTTCAAGGCCCGCTCTACATATGGCAGTCGGTCAAGACCCTGAGCCCGTTTCAATCCTAGAGGGTTTGACTTCGGCAGTCCAGTCTGTTCATTTGACCCGCGGTCAACCGGCTGGTCCCCCGGTTTTGACACACGGCCATATGCACCGCCGTCTTTGGCGGTACCAAACAGCCATCTATCCGCATCCATGTTGCCAGTTCCAGGAGCTTTTCGCTGATCAAAAGGCAGCCTCCGCGGCGCAGTGGTCGAAGGTCTTTTGGTGAAGAAACAGGGCAACTGGAGCACGGGATATGTGGGGAATAGGGATGGAGTACCTTTGCTTTTGGGAAAGGCGTGAACCAGCACATCCGTTTCGAAGGTGTGACTGGGGTGGATGCCAGAGGGGTCCAAACGCCTCCTGAAGAGGTACTGCTGGAGCCCCCCCATGTTCATTTCTATGCAAAGCCGAATTTGGAAGACTCTCAGAGGTGGAGATTTGTGGAAGAGGTTGCCGTTGGATCCTGGATCTCAAATGATGATACCTCTACGCTCCCTGAAAATAGATCCATAGATGATCCATGGATGGGTTTGATGTTTTGCCCCTTGCCTTTTTCATGACCATGTTCACTCCGAAGACCCGTGCCTTGTACTTTTCACTCCATGTAACCACCATGGGTTTCAGGGAGTCTTGGAACAGTTTCTCTGTTGGACCGTGGTTTTTTCACCTGGACCGACTGCACCTGCACCTGCCATCACGCGACCGCGTTGCACCGATCCGCGACCGAGATTCGGGGCGAGTCGAGGGGGGGCATCCTCTAAGCGCTCCGTTGGTGCCGCCGAGTTCCGCTCAACATGGCGCCAGCGCTCTCTCTCTTCCTTTCCGCACGCTGTTTCAGGACTTTCCTTCCAGGAGTGACCCCGATTGATGGACCTGAGGAACTCGCCAGGCAGAGGCAGAGGTTTCTGATAGATGTTGTGAAAAGGCTTCTTACATCACCCAGCTATGCATGCTCAATTGATCTCAATATTTCTCTTGTTCTATATTGTGGGTAGACTGGTCACATGTTTTACGACTTGTTCCGCAGTGGGTCGGAGCTCACACGGCAGGGGAAAAAGGTTGGGTTTCGCAAAGACATGTACAAACCCGGAAGACTTGGTCCCGCGCCACACTCAGCGGCAAAGAGTTGAGGTCTTGGAGACACTGAAGGAGCCCTTGAAGACCTCCAAGGAGCTCATCGACCAACGTCACTTGCTGTGGTTATTTGGTATCTTTTGGTGGTGCTGCAGGTGGCTTTGGTGCGGTTGGATAAGGATTGTCATGGATATATTATATACATGGATTATAAACACAAAATAAAACATTGTAAGTCCATTAAACACAAACTCCAGCAAGGGATGATTTGCTGCTTGAAAGCTCTTCATATATATATATATATGTTTGAAGCCCATGGAAGCCCCCACACTTATGGTTGTGGGTATGGGTTGTCACTACGAATTGGCATGTCGGACAAATCGCTTGTCACAGAAACAATGATGTTTTTGTTCATGAATGTATACACCGTGCATCTTCAAGGGTTTTGAAATATGCAGGTGTCAGGCCTGTCAAGAAGGGCAAAGTTCTGTTTGTCGCCCTTTGCTTGTTTGTGAGGGCTTTGTCAGATGACGGCGTGTGAGAATTCCGTTTTTTGACCCCTTTGTGGTAGATTGCCAACCTAGATTCCACACTACTGGTACTCAGTTGAGCAGACAAGCTGAATGAACATGAATGAACACTATCAACTTACAAAGGAATTTCAGCCAACGCTCCTTCCGAACATGGAGAGCGACCCGACCACACCGGTCGCCGTGTCGCTCCGTGACGTCGCGAGGCTCCACCGTCGGCGCGGACCGGTTCCCCCGAGGCCTCGAAGCGCTGTGGCAGCGGTTGCTGCGCCTGGCGCGGCAGCCGAGCTCCCAGGAGGCCACGTTGGCGGTCGTGGAGACCTGCGCCTCGGCAGTCGAAGGAGAGAGAGGCGCAAAGGCGGCGCGGCAAGGCGCAGAGACAGCGGCGCGGCAGAGTGGCTGATCGGGTTTCACTTGGTTGAAGTGGAAACGGTTTCACTGCGGAGGGGGGATCCCTATCCGTGATCCCTTAAGGAGTTCACTTGAACTCATCAAAGCTGGTTTGTTGGTGACAGCATTGCTTGATGTGGAGATCCCTGGCTGTCGATGTAATAGCCCATTGATTATAGCATGAGGTGTCCCAACCCTGCAAACATCATCCAGATCAAACCATATTCCAAGGTGGTATCTCGTTGGATCGTTTTTTGGAGACCCAAAAAACGATCATATATAAATAACAATAAAACAACTGCTGTCCCGTTTGGTAGATCATTCGGAACAGTGAAAGACTGTTGATCCGCCGTAGGCCGGTGTTTGATGCCAAAATGGGGCACCTTCAGGTGCTGAAAACCATCGGAAAAGACACACAATCCGATCAGATAAACGAACATGACAAGAAATTGTTCCATCAAAACCATACATTCCATGGCCGCTCAAACTTGGATGCCTGCTGCCTGTTCACGCAAGACATCGCCGAGTCGACAGACGTCTTTGCCACCGAAGACCAAGGCAATCTCTTGGATTCTTTGGGCCTGAACCGCTCGCGCCTGGGCGCCCCAGTGCGCCAGAGCTTGAAGGAGCTCACGGACGACGTGAAGCGCGGCCATGCGGTGAAGGGCGCAGTCCAGGCCGCAGTCGGGACCGGCGTGACGTGACCGGCGACGACCGGCGACCGATGGGGGATGGGATGGATGGGTGGAGCTTCGGTGATCTCATTAACTGATGTTTGCACTGCTAGCAGCTAGGTGTGGAAGTCTTGCTTGACCTGAAGATCCGGTTTTTAGGTTTGCTTGACCTGAAGATAGAAGAATCGCATATGGATGCATATGGGGTTGCATTTGACCATATTTGACGTTGACCTGAATACGTGTGGGCGTGGGTTAACGGAACATTTTGGCTTTGACCTTTGATCCCGACCCAACCCAGCCTTTGGTAACGGGAATTGATATCAACTTAGTAGCTGATGTAGCTGCTTGTGAAGCACTTCACAACTTTCCAGGCTTTACTAAATGCATATAGTAGTTCATCTAAATGCATATAGTAGTTCATGAATCCCTGTAGGCTCCTGCTTCTAGGTCACCATTGCTATTGCGTGAAGGCTGGAAACCATAGCAACGTCTCCACCAAAGCTGGTGGTCAGGTGCTGGCTGGCCTTTTGCAGTTCATCAGCGCCACCGCCCCTGGCACGTCACACACAACTCGGTCGTCTTCGGCGCCGCAGTGCGACGATGACGGCGACGTGGTTGCTGCGTGGGAAGCAGCGTCAGCGGTGCAGGAGGCAAGGTGGTGGTGGTGCTTGGTCTGGTTTGCTGGGTATTACTGGGCTGGTACATAGCTCCAATGTGTCCTTAAGGTGTTGGAGATCAGGGGTGAAGCCTCACCATCAAATTCAGTGATTCAGGGGTTCCAGACAACGCTTCCTAGGGTACTAAGCGTACTGAGCCCTCTCTTGCAATTCGGAGTTGTTGAACTGTTATTTTGGGGACAGGCAGCTTGTGAGCATCACATAACAGGTGAAATAAATTCAACGACCTGGAAGCACCCCAAAAGACTAATGCTCGAACATGCTCGAACAATATAGAAGGGACACGTAAACACTGCTGGGGGGAACGCGCTCCCATGATTTGCACCTGGTGCAGGACACGCCAACCACTCCCAGCACAGCAGCTTCCAGCCCACCGCTGCCGACGCCTTTGCCGATGAAGTCCTCGCAGGTGAGGCAGGCGATGGCGAAGGAGTTGGGCGGATCAAAGCCATGCGAAGCACAGCTGTGAGTTGTGGGTTGTGTCCAAAGTCTTTGGTTGGGCTTCACTAAATAGTCTGAGAATATCTCCAGTACAGCTTTCAGACACGAAGCACAGCTGTGATGTTGTGGATGTTGTCGTTGAGGGCGGGAGCCGCGCCTCTCCTTTGAGGGCGCCGTGGTGTGCGGAGTTTTGGGTAACATTTGGGCTTCACAGTTCCCAGACACTCCATGGGACTGGCATATATGCCGCCCCATTGACCCCCTTTCAACCACCCCAACTGATCGGCATATATGGCATACATACATGGAGTGTCTGGGGTTTGTCTGAGAATCTCCAGCACAGGGTTTCTCACATCGAAGGGGCTGAGAATGGCCATCGGAGACTCGGACGTTGCGGAGGTCTCGTCTGTTCAGGAGACAATTCAGACGAAGACACATGAGGTGCAGGGAGTTAAATGAAGTATCAGGGGCAAAGTCCGATTCTGTCACTAATGTCCTGGCAACCAGATGATGGGTTTGCCATGGTTTGCCATTTGCTCATATGGCTGGGATCTCACAAAAGACCCAAGGGATTTGTTATGAATAAGTGGACATGTCTAGCTTGTGATGATTAGTGAGGCTTCCGCATGTCCACTGCCACACAAGTGGGACACCTCCGGCCACAGCAGTTTCTGAATGTTACTTATATGTTTCTTTATTCCAGGTATAAAAGCACAGAGGTTCTATTGCTAAACCCCAGACCCAGAGGCTGGTTTTGAAGCCATTTGGGCGTTTGGCTCTTGAACTTCTTGTAAGATGAGGATCTTAGTGTTGGAACCCAAGCAGCTCAACTTTTGGATCTCTAACGCCCATGAAAAGAGTCATCAAGAGGAGCAGTCTATATATGGTTCTAACTGGAACGTGGCCCCGAGGAAAGTGTGCAGCCCAAACATAACACTAGCCCTGTGCCGAGTCGCATTCGGTCGCGGAGTCGCATAGTCCGAGGGAAACTTGTTACTATGTATAGCTTCTTGTTCCAACAGTAGTAAGGCCAAGAAGCCCCGTGTCGTAGCGTCCGATCGCTCCGTTCGAGACGCGATGCCAGGAGCCCCGTTCGTAACCGTTCGTAGCTTCTTGTTCCCCCAGAAAAAAACCGTCCTCCCCCCGTCAGGAGCCGCTCCTCATAGAAACGACCTCCATCTTCGAGGACCTTCTGCCGCTGGGCACGAGGGCCGGACGCCGGACACGCGGTGTCCGCGGCCGCAACGCGGAAGGGCGGCGGACGAATTGCCCTGTGGTCTGTGGACCTGGTCTCGAAATGATCTCACTCGATATAATGGGTTGACTGAAGCAGAAGTCCAAGGAAAGTAGGACTGTTTCACCATGTTTCAGCCATAAGCAGTTCACCAGGGTTCACGAGCATGCCAGCCCTCCTTCCGTGCCGCGCGGCCAGCTGCCCCCCCGCACCACAGGCCTCTGGACATGCCGCCGTCGCCGGACCGCTCCGCGGACGAGACTATCCGCCGCGCCCGGGCGTGGCTCAGCTCGCGCGGCCTCGCGCCGAGTGCCGCGCCGAGTGCCGCGGCGAGTGCCCCGCGGGAGGTCGGCAGCAAGAGGGCTGGTGTGTGCGCTGCGCGAGGGATGAGCAAGAAGGCGGGGGAGAAGGTGTGTTGTGCTGTTCTGGATGAAAGTTTGAACTCATAGCTCTTAATCAATATTCAATATAATTATGACCATTATTCCTTAATAAATATATCAACTGATGTTATATACCCAGACACTCCATGTATGGAATATATGCCTACATTGACCCCCCAAACCACCCCAATGTAGGCATATATGCTATACATGGAGTCTTTGGGATATGTTATATAAGTCAATAAGTCTCACAGTCCTTGAAATTTGGGGAGCAACGACTTGAACTCGTATATCTTAACAACTGGGACTGGTTCAGTTTTAAGTGATGTTCCTTTAAAGCATCGCTCCTTTCTCCGGGCTGCGGCACGCAGGATGCTCCTGCCGCCGTCGAGAGTGTCTCCGCAGCTCCGGAAGCGCGGCACCGGTGCCGCAGCGCGGGTTCCGCCAGCGTGGCACCGAAGGCGAGGAGATGGTCGGAGCCTTGGGATGGGATCGGAGCCGAGTCCGGGAGCGGGGACCATGGAGCGTCAGAGGATTCGGACGGGGACTCCGATGGAGTTCGGTGGAACAGTCAGATGGATTCGACTTCCATTTGGCCCAGTAGTCACGGTCACTGAACAGTAAGTGTGTTCGGTGCAGCTCTTTGGTAAAATGGGAACCAAGGTCGTGGGCTTCCTGGGTAGGGGAGGGTTGAAGGTTCCATGATCCCAACTGACAGGTAAAGATATCATCTTCCCTCAACTGCTGTAATGTGTGTGTGTGCGGGACAGTCCAGTTTTGCCAACCGGGTTCAGAAAGGTTCCAGTCCCACAGATTGCTAGAGGGTTTGGCTTCACCGCTTGCTTTTCCACCATTCACTGTGCCTGGACCAAGAGGAATTGAATCGTTGGATCCTTTTACTTTTGGTTGGTTTGTCACAAGCCACGCTCGATAGTTGCATATAACGTGCCGATAGTTAAACTAACCATCGAATCCAGGAGCAGTGAGGAGGGCAAGTGTAGCATCAGCGAGTCTATCTCGGCCATAAAACTACCCATCGCCTCAATGCAACCCATAAGTTCCCCATTCCGCATCTCTCAACTATGTCGGCATCCAAGGAATCCAAGCTTCAGCCTCCGGGCTCTTGGTTGCGCCAGCGGACGCCCAGCAGCTCCTCCCTCACGCGCACGCCGCGCGCGAGCAGCAGCACCCGCACTCCTCGCGCGAGCAGCAGCACCCGCACTCCTCGCGCGAGCACTGGAAGTAGTGCGCGGCAGATGTCCTGGGCGGCGGAGGTACGAAAGCATGAGGCGTTGAGCGATGCTCGGCGTAGCTGGACTGTTGGGATGTCAATGACTGTTCCTGAATGTTCTTCATGTGTTCTTCGGAAGGAGCTCCTCCGCCAACTTTGATGCAGCGCGATTCACGTAAAAAATGCAAATACATGATTAGAGTTGATTTTAGAGTCTTGAATCAAGTGGAGGATTCTTCAATCAACAGTAGAGTAGAGTATCATGAAAGTTTCTCTGAAAGGCCACTGGTGAAAAGACCAATGACCAATCAACTGTGGTATTGTATTCCAAGGGATTCCTGTTTAGTACGTAGCGATAAGACACTTCACTTCCGTGTTCGCATTTGTTTGTGATATTTTAAGCTTGGAAACTTGCCAGTGCCCCGGGTGTGCCAAAGAAAGGCGCTGGCGTGTACGATGGACAACAGTAGTATAACAAATATCAATAAAAATCACAGATGTCTTTTGATGATTCCTTAAACGACGGCTCTTCATGACTTCCTGGTGCAATATGTTCCCAAGCTATCCCAAGCCAAGCAGCCATATTTCATGCTTCGAGTGTCTCCATGGTCTCTCCGTCCTTTGCTGAGGATCGCTTGAAGGCGAAAGCTGCAGCGGATGGCACGGGACAGGTGCCATGTCCGGAGGCTGTGAGGACAGCTGCTAGGGTGAGCAAAAACAGAAGACAGAGAGACAATGAATGACAATGATACCATTGAAGTGCTTCAATGATCTTCGATGCACCTGCCATCAGCTGTCATGGAATGTCATGGGTAGTCACTCCTCAAAAGCTAAATCCATTATCGGGCACCACCTGTATTTCAGGCAATATCTCATGCAGACTTCCGGCCAGCAGGTACAGACAAAGGAATTTCTTAGTACGAATCAGCTCAAAGGCCTTTTTGGTAAGGACCAGCTGATGATGCGTGCGAGTCGGACGTGTGTTAAGTACCAGGTATGCAAAGGACCAGCTGCTATACAGGCCAGTCTTCAGCATCCACCCAGCCATTTGCTCCGCTCCGGTTCCGCTGGATGAACACGGCTTTTTGCCGACCAGGACAGCCCAGCGTCGTGCGCGGAAGGCGCAGAAGAAGCAAGCGGAGGAGGTCCTTGCAGAACCGATGAGAACGACACATGACACACCCCGTGGCGACTAATTTGGTTTTCGTGATGAGCAGAGAATCCCTAGGGCTCCAACTACCTCCTCAGAAGGTGGGACTGGGGTGGGTGCCAGGGGAGTCTAACCACCGAACCTGAGGATATGGTTGGAGCCCTAGGGAATCACAGAGATCCTTTGAACAAAACAGACTTGGAAAGATCTGTTGTCCATGTGTGTGTGTGTGTGCGTGCCCTGCGCAGGTAGAAAAGGTTGGGTGTCAGTTATTTGTATATTCACAAGTTTCAATTGTTGAACTGTTGTTTCCTACTGGTATCTGAAGAACCAGTTGATGGAGACTGACAGTGCTTTAACATGTTTTTTGAGGTTGATAGATCTCGAACTTACATTGGTGCACGATTATAGGCATTTCTTGACAAAGAACCAAGCTTTAGCTGAACAACCATTTACCGGAGGATCCTAAGTTACCCAACGACTAAGTCGCTATATGTGGAATCCTGGGTGACGACGCGAGGCTTGCATGCCGAAATCCCCATGATTCACAACAACCAACAACAGTGTTTGAGCAGCCTGAAGGTCAGCTTTTCACCCCTCCAAATCCAAGGAGACATATCTGAAGGTCTTAACCATCAGAAAGCATGCCACTCCCCCCGCTCTCCATTGGGGCTGTGTCAGGCCACCCAGGAGCTGCAGCTGCGGCTCCACCAGGGACAACTCGTGGCGCTGAAGACCGCGGAGCTCTTCCGCGAACGTGACGCGCAGCGGGCGCACCGCCAGGAGAGGAGTGCGCAGCGGTCTCGGCAGGGGTCTTTGCAGCGGTCAGAGGGCTACACAGCTGAAACGGATGGGGTTCTGGGATGACGTGAGTAAGATTGAAAGACAGCAATTGGAGGGCTCCGGTGCTCTACATTGCCTTCTGGGACTTCTGGGTCTCTACATCTTGAGGAGTGGCTTTGTACGCTGATATGTGCGTTTGTTTGGTTTCCAAGCCATGTCCTTGGAAGCAACTTGGCGAAGGGAAAGATCTAATTGGAGGGTCGTTCGGAAAGACTGCTGAACTCTGAAGAAGATTCCACCATTGATTGAGTTTGTGTGCGATGAATTTCAAATCGATGAGTATTGATTCGATCATTGATACGCACTTTGGAGGGTCTTCCCAAATCTGGGTGGTGGATTCAGATAATATATGTTACATGTTCGACCTTTACTTGGGATGATGCCACGGACTCAGTCACGGACTCATACTTGTTCTAAGTTAGTTTGAAACCACCAACCATTCATCACATGATTTGCAATAGACGCTCTTTGGTGATGAAGTGTTTTCAAGATTGGACGGTCTGGAACATTGAGCATGGGATTTGCCACCCATGCTTTGGTGAAATGAAAGGACGAGATAGTCAGGGCTCCCTTTGGTTTATGTTTCTCCGTTTGAACCAGACCATGCTGAACCACTGTTTGTATCATGTGTTTCATTGCCAAGACCCTTCACTGAATGCCTGAATGCGGTCCCCAATCTCGCAAACAGCAGAAGGAGTCAATAGCAGCACACCCCGTTGATGAACCACCAACAAAACGATCCTTTTTGGCTCCCAGATCGTGCTGGGCGTGGTGTTCTTTTTTCTCCTCCAACCTAAGGACCTACAGGTGTTCATTCCGTAGTGTTTCACACCCCACAGCAGTCCAATGTACAGATAGGATTAAGTAGGACTCAATACACAAACTAGGACACACCTCCAGTGCGGGGATTGATGTTCATTTGTTTTCATACACACACACACACGCACACACACGTGATCTCACATGTTTTCACATTGTTTTGCACAGGTTCCTGCCGCGGCCGCAGCGTGAGCCCGGACTTGACGCCACGCTTCTTGGTGCCGGCGCCGGAGCCATGCCCACGACGGAGTGACAGCGAAGGGTAGCCGGGTAGCGGAAAGAAAGACAGAATAAACATAACGAAAGCAGGGTCAATAATATGGGTCAATGTCAATGGTATTTGTGTTGTGCTTACATATCATATCTTGATATTATTGTTACCTTATTTTGTGTGAGGTAGCATGTTCTATGAGGGATAAGTGGTTGTTGTTGTAGCGAGTGGTTCTTTTGGGTGATCCTTGAAGTACTCACCGACTCTGAAGCAATGCCCTTCATGTGCCAAAAGCCTTCCGAACAGTTTTAGACATTCCAAATGTGTGTAAGACCAAATCAGCTTCTGGGGTATTTGGATCTCTGGGGAGATCGTTGCAGTGGCCTAACACGGGCCACTGTGTGTGCGTGTGGCCGGGAACAAGAGCGAGCGCCACACTGTGCGTTGGTGCCCAGAGGGCCGCGGAGAGGAAATTTTGTTGAAGTGAACATCCCTGAAAGCATGAGGTCAAACAGGGGAGAAGAGCTTTCCGGGAATTTGTAGGGCTTCAAATTGCAGGCGCGACTCGTGAGATTAGCAGGCAGACCAAGAGTGCGTGGAGCCCGCTGTACCCGCCGTGCCCCGTAGGCAGCGGATATGGCAGGGCAGCCCGGTCGTAGCAAACAGCTGGATGCTGGTGTTGTTGAGGTTTCAGTTGGAGCACAGCTTTGGCCAATCTTTCAGTTCCTTCATACACTCCGGGTTCAGCCCATTCGAATTTGTCAAGAATTTGAGAAGCTGGAGCAGTCGAGCTGTTTTGGCAATGAAATACAAGTTGTACTTAAACTGACTGGTGAACATTTCTATTATCACACCTATGGGAAAGGACAGCTCAGCAATCTTGAGCTGAAACGCTGTGAGATGAAGTGTATGAGCAGCACTTCAGGGTTAAATATTTGGCCTTTGTGCCAGAATACACTGTTTGACCAGATTTAGAAAAACACAAAATATATACTTGCAATCACAATCAATATAGTATGACCAAGCAAAATCAAGCCAGTCCAGGATTCAATCCCACTCCAGTTTCTGGAGCTTTCATCGCCGGATGCTTTGCCGCTGGAATCCGACCCACACGGTATCGGTTTGGGTTTGTCCTAGTAAACCTGCAGAGCCGTCAGGTTTCACAAGAACATCACTACGTACTTAGAGATGTCGGCCTCAAATCACCAGGCCCCATCATCATCCACCGGGCCTTGGTAATAGGATAGACACAACCTAATATGGGATCTTGGACACATGCTGAGCTACTTGCCTCATGCGGACATCAACCTGCCTGACCTACGCCCGCGGCTGCCGTGTCCTGACGTGTAAGTTCGGGGATACCCAGTGAAAAAGCAAGTTCGGTTGTGTTCACATCAAAGGTGCATTGTCAGTAGCCATGTGATGGACGGGATAGAGGCGTTGACATTAAATGGTCGATGGTTTGTAGTACATCAACGGTCCAAAACATGGCTTACTCGAGCCAGAAGCCATGGTCGGAGTCCGAGACTTTTCGGGGGGCCTGCATTGGTTGGGTAAGATGAATGTGTTTGGGTGAACGTGTCCCAGACTTTCCCGATGAATCCCTCGATAGGCAAGGACCCAGGATTGGTCAAGGACCCAGGATTGGTGAACAAAAGCAACAGGAAACCATCTATGGTATTCACCTTCAAAGATTACCGGGGGTTGTTTACCATAAGATTGTCCCATGCTGAGAGCATGCAGAGAACCGGTACGACAACTTTGCTGGACCATGTGACTCGGAACCGGTACGACTGGACCCTTCGATCACCAGTCGATCACCAGTCGTGTCTCCGATCACCAGAAGACCTTCTCAGACAGTGAATGGGTCCATGGGACTGGAAGATCTAGCTATAGCAGCTATACCCCACAAACGAGCCCCATGGAGAACGGTTTAGCTATGGCCATGGTCTATGGCCGGGTCGTGGCGAAAGTGGGTCTCTTCGTTTCACCGGTCCAGGCCCAGCTCCAACGCGATGCCGAGACGCATCGGAAGAGGCACGGGACCGCCGGGGGGAGGACGGGCGGGATGACTCGGAAGTGAGTGCGGAGTCTGTAGAAAATAAAGTGACATTAACATGATCCAAGTAGACTCTGTAGAAAGTTAACATGACTTAGTAGATGTCTGTTGGAAAAGAGTGTGGACATTGGAGAAATGTATGTTTTTTTAGGTGTTTCATGGGAGAGATATTGGAGGGTGCATAGCATCTCTACCTCAGAGGATCTGGTCTGGTTCATGGGCTGGTTGGGATCTCACCTAGTGACCTAGTGACTAGTAGCATATAGCACTGAGCACCCCAGAAGCAGTTTCCAAAGTGCGAGGGTCACCTTCATCGGACAACTATGGGACAAATCAAGATCGCAGCAGCATCCATGTTGGATCCGCAGGTTGATGCTTTGCCGCAGTTTCAAGTCAAAGGTGCCTTGCGGCCTTGCAAGAGAAGAACAATGGAGAGTTTGTGGTGTTTTTATCTACTACCACTCACAAGTTTTGCTTTTGTTGCATTATGTGTTTTCACAACAAGCAGAGCTTGCCTATGATCCATCCATATCCATCTTCAATCCATATCAATCCTTTCACTTCGATATTCAGAGCATCATGGGGTCTGGATCATCCGTGGAGCCCGGTGCGGCTGCGGGTGAGGCGGAGTGGTTGGAGCGGGCGAGCGGGAGGGGCGAGCGAAAGATGAGGTCTGACACGAATGAAACGACGACAGGTCTGGAACCGATGAGGCTTTTTGGTCATGCATGGTCCATTCACCTTTTGATTGTTCGATGGGTCATTAAAGACCAATGGTCTTGAAATGGTTCTGCAAAGTAGGAAAAGAGAAGGATGGATGACTTGCAGAATCTCCCAGACCTTGGATCTCCAAGACCTTACTGAAGTGAAGACTTCGCTTCAGCGAGATACATGATTCCTGTTTTTTTTGAGGTCGCTGGCTTGATGATTTGCCAATATTTCAACATGCCCATTCCGGGAGTCTGTGGTGACTTTACTTTCTTTCCAGATTTGGCTCAGCCATAGATCGCCACTTTATTCTCAAGATGATGTGGCAACAGCCAGTCGATATAATCATGGGAGCCAGCTATAATGCATTACATATTTTGACTTGAAACAAGCTTCATGCTGGCTATTTAACTGTATATATTTTGTCTTCAATGTATATTTGCTCGTATACCAACGCTAGGTGCTTAGGTCACAGATAGCCATAACGTCAAAATGTAGCTTGTATACATAGCACGCCGTAACACCTTCTTAATTTAATATTTAATATTCAGATCTTTTTTAGTTGGCTACGCTGTGTCCCCACTTAGCTTTAATATACAGATCTGAATACCCCTGGGAGTTCAGTCAACCATTGTTTATACGGTCTTTAGGTGATAAAAAGACGGAAAAAAATCCTTCACTTGGGTGGTGCCCAAACTCGTCGAACTGGAGATTCGAACGGGAAGAGTTCGTTCGTTCGAAGCACACTGGGGAGCCCCTTACAGCACGCCGTCGAACGATTCGGGGTCCTAAGATGTCGAACGTGGATCCGGTCCCAGGAGAGTTGCGGAGTGATTCGCGTTTCGACCGGTCGAAGCGCGATTCGACCGAATAGTTATGGGAATTCGGTGTGCGGTATTCACCTCTCGCGGGTTGGGGGGGAGGGGTGTCCTGCATTAAATTGATGCGCTTGAAAGCTGGCAGCTTTGAAGCCACAGCTCCCAGAAGCTGCTTCCCGTACTAAATTTGCACTGGAAAAAGAAACAGCTTTGAAGCCCTTCCTCCCAGCTGTACTGGATTTGCACTAGAATGCCGACTCCCAGAAGCATGTTCCTCGTACTTCAACTGATTGACTTGTGGTGAACCATTGTGAACTTCTTGCTCCTTATGGGCTCCTTGCATGTGCATTCAGCATAAGCCTCGGGCGGACGAGGCTGGTCCATCGGTTGGCAGCAGGAGGCTTGGGAATGACATGTGAAGGATTTCAACTGCATCGTTGAGAAGGTCTCTGTAGCAAGCCAGAAGGCGAAAACCAGGCAAGACAAGGGTCGGTTGCACTGAGCAACAACAAGTCCTAGCTGCATCTCAGCATTCCAGCCATGGGCGCCGGCCCTTCAGTGGAGGGGCGATCATAGACTTCGCGGGGACATGCCAAATGCTGACCGCCAAGGAAGGACAAGACCCGCTTGCTCCAGTTTTGCCTGTCTGTTGACTTGATGGAAAAGACCGTTGAGCACCTCTGCTCGGATGTTCCCAGAGACTCCTGAAGAACTGGTGACGACTCCGTTGGCGCGAATGAATATCGATGATGCGATGGGCTGGTTTTCGAGGCAGAGAGCACCAATGGATGTGTGCGCCAGGCAGCTGTTTGCGTAGTAAGTGATGCCACAGATGCCTTGGCAAAGTGGTTTTCGAAGCAGCTTAGTGTGTTTAGCTTCGCGGTCACCGCAGCTTTCGCCAGGGTTCAAAGCTTCGGTCTTCGCGACCTCCCAACCCGCCGGTCCGGACCAACCGGATCACGTCTCGAAGGCGACGCGACACGCGAAACCTGGGTGGACCCAGTTTGTGTCCAGTTGTACCCGCGAAGGGACGCGAAGGGCACTAATTGGTCTTTCAGGTGGACTATCAGTGGACTGCTGCATCTGGTCTGAAATCCGGACCCATGTCGGCCCTTTCATCAAACTCTGCATTCGCGGATCAGCTTGGAGTCTCTTCTGAACAGCCTTTCTGGCTGCGTGTGAGAGGTCCAAGAGTTTGGATATTGCTTCAAAATGCTGGTCCACCATTGACCATCTTTGTCCCTCCCAACCCTGCCCACCTTGGGCAGTGGTGTAGTGCGCTCTGTACAAAAAGGCCTGGCTTCTGTCAGGCCATTCACGATCAGCAAATCAGTTGGATTTGGGCATGAACCTACCGAATCTGCCCTGCTCGATACCTTTTGACAGGAAGCAGTTGACGGTTGCCAACATTGCCAACCGCCAGATGCCGTCTATACTCTCCCTCTTTTGGTTGTGCTGGGTGCCACGATCCCTGGTCATAAATGCTGTCCAGAGAAGGAAAATCGCCGCAGCCAGTAGCCTGTTACCAAGGTCCGCTTGGAGGCTTTCTATTTTGGTTCAAGTACAAGATTCTTTGTGACCAGGATTGTGATTTGACCACCCGTTGCCCAACAATGCACGTCCTTCAAGAGCCCTTCTGAGAAAATCGAGAGTATCACGTCTCAACAAGTTCCCCCACGAAACAGGTTGAAGATGATGTCCACGGAAACAGTTTCAATGCTCATCCCCTGCTCTCCGCTCGCCTGAGAACAGGTGTGCCACTGGCGTTGGGAAGTACTTCAAAGTCTGGGCTTGGTTCCAGAGGATGTCTCGTACCATCCATCGTTCCAAGAACTGCACAGTATCCTTTGCTAGATGTCTCGTCTTAACATGAATTACCACTATAAGGAACCAATTCGCTGTCGTCGCATAGGTGAACCTTTTGATTTTTGCCACGAGACACTCCGACACTCCACCAATCGCTGGCCCATGTCGAAAAGCGATGCATGACCTCCTAATGATAGAGCGTAGTGTCTAATGTGGCATTCCTGAGGTCCTTACGCCACACCACTGGTTCCTTATCAACAGAGGAGCTTCCCACTTGGCAGTCAGCATCAAGTACTGTTCCTGTGGCACATCAGAAGGTTCAGCATGCGGAGGATGTTGACCTGCTGCTTGTAGGAATGGTGCTCTCAACAGTTTCCTGATGTTTCCTGTGTTGGCTTCCTGTTGACCCCTGGTTGCCGTTCCACAAAGATACCAAGTTCCTTGTGGAAGTTGAAGCAATTGGTGGCCCGCTTCACGTGCTTGACCAGGTCTGTGTAACTATCATAAATCTTCAGACACTTTTCACATTGTGTTCCTCCCACATAATCCCTGATTTGATTGGCTCTATTATGTTTCTTGAACGCATGTACTGCGAGTGCACTTCTCTGCTTAAAGGTCATCTTGCAGGCCAGCAACGCATGTGTTGCTGCTCTGCGATCCCGCAGTCCTTGTGCTGTGCAACGCCCGCATCAATCACTTCAAGCCTATACTTCCGCCTGCCACTCCTTCCAAAAATCATCTCGCTTTCTGGCAGCCACCAGTCTATGTCGTGCAATTGCTCTTTTGAGGATTCTTGTCCACCGTGGGGGGCCATGGGATGCCGTCCTCAGGACAGAGCTCCGAGAGCCATCTGAGTTTCCAGCTCCGCCATCACGGGCGGAGCAAGGCCCCTGTCACCGTGCGGCTGGCCAATCTGAACCACTTGAAGAGAATACCGGAGTCGACACTGTCTGACAGTGCTTTCAGGGTTGGACAGCTCAAGTTCGCTGAGGATAGGATCGGTTTCCCAAAGAGTACCTGCTGTCCAAAGTGCAAAATGCTGATTCTCTTATAGAGGCGCATAAATGACGATTGCAATTAATTATCCTTGAGCTGTCTCTTTTTTTTGGCAGCGGCATCTGATGGTTTTCAAGTATTTGTGACTTATACTTAATAACTTATGTGCAGCCGCAAATTTTGTGCTAACATCACGAGCGACTCATGCTCCCACCTGCAGCCAGGTTCCAAGGTGCTTATACGCCCCCACAACCTGCAATCATTTGCAATCCAAAGTCACAGAATCTCCAAGGAACCACCGAGCAGTGACCGTGGTGCAGTGGCTTGGAGTCCCTGCTTCCAAAGCCTCTTTTTTTGTTGGTTGACCCTGAAAATGGACGGATTTTTCATGATGTTTCTAGTTATAGGCTTTATAGGGGATCTCAACGGAAAGCCATGGTTTGTACGGTGAGGTTTGGTTCCTCACACCCGGCATTTGGACTTGAGGGACGAAACCCATATCTGTGGGTTGTTGCTTACTTACAGGACATTTGTGACATCAACCGAAATCCATGTTTTGTAGGATGAACTTTGCTTCCCCACACCGTCAGTGTCAGCTTGAAGAAGAGACTTAGCTTCCCTGGCTTTCTGCCTGGCCCACTTTGGGTGTTCTTTTTCGTCCGGTCGAGCCGGGCTCGCCCCATTTCAATGCACACATGTCTTTGATAAATGTGAACTGTTTCATGGATTTTGGACCTTCAACTTGCCAGATATGGGATGACGCTCATGGAAGACGACGTGCACTTATTCACTTTATAAAAAGCTTGACATTTCACCGGTGGGATATGTAAATAAGGATTGCTTCAGGTAGTTGTCAAGTGGGGTCTGTAGTCCTGAACTATTGGGGTATGTCAGTCAATCCTATGTAGCTCAGGATGCTGTCCATCCACCGTCCAGGCAGTTTCTCCCGGCAACCAGCGTGGGACAAGCAGTGTGCCAGTGTCTCCGCGCACGGAAGAGGTGGGGTTGGGAGTCGTCCTTTATGGATAGTCCAAAATAGACTGTAAAGTCATTCGGTCTTAGGGGAGTTTTGACATTATACGATGATTTGGCATTCATTTCTTCAACACCAAGACTTTCAGACATGTTCACACAGATGATGTTAGCAAAGGTTAACAAGCTTCACACAGGTATTTGCAAGTGTCATGTTCTTTCCTCCCCATCAACCGATTGTAAAACATCACACAAATAACAGAACACAACTCACCACGTATACATTTGTTGTTTCTTCTTGGTCCCAGAGTTCCTCGTCCTCATCGATAGACGCAGACGAAACATGTCCATGGAAAATTCATCGGTCTGTGCCACTTTGGCCTAGACTCGGAAAGGCCAAAAACCAGACAAACATTTGAGGCTGTTCCTTAGCTCACGTCCTCACCTGCAAGGGCATCCTCACGAGGTCCCTGGAACCTATGAAAAACCTCAAAACCTGGGGACAAGAAAGACACTTCCTCGTTCCATCGATGTCCCTCCTGAGCGCTGCTGGACAGTCCACCGAGAGTTTGTGTGGTGACAGATCTTGATTCATCATGTCCAGGTTCTTGGACAGGTCAACTGAGCATAACTGAAAAAAACAGTCCTTGTTTTTTGGGGGAGGACGTTCGCATACTTCCGATTTCTTTGGGAATGGAATCGCTTCTTCTGTCTCAGCACCACATGGAGCAGCACCTCTCCACCGGCGCCGTCTGTCCGTCTCCGCAGGCGCTCGGTGAGTCGCCCCGGTCGGTGCGGTTCAAGGTGCCGGAGGCCGAACAGAGAGAGGGAGGGTGTTTTTGGGCCGATAGACAGGGGGTAGTTGTGTGTGTGTGTTGTTTTTTTGTTTATGAGTGTAGTTTGGTAGTTTTTTGTTGTTTGTAGATTGATAGTTGTGTGTTGTTGGATTTTGTGGGTGATTGATGTTTGTTTATTCCTGACATGTCCTGATCTTTGGGGGTCATACACGATGCCCGTTAGGCTTTATTGCAGGGCCCAAAGGTGGAGGTGAATATGATCTCTTAGCAACAACTCGGCATGATACACGGTGTGGTGGCCATAAACTATGCTCATCTGTGTTCATTTGTCATGTTTGAGAAATGACTATGTTTGCAACTACTCGTGTCTTTTGCAACTACTCCTGGTCCATTCATGTCAAGTGTAAATAAATATAGTCATAAATAGGCGTGTTTGCAACTAACTATACAGTATATTATTGGTTGCCATGTCTGAGATCATCCAAAGCAGCTGAAATCATCGCTGCTCGTCATCGGATGTTCGCGCGCACGCGCGCGACTTCAGGTGGAAATCCCAGGCGCGACCGACCTGAGTGTTTGACCGAGGGTGTTTTTGACCGATGATGGTTCCAAGACTTGCGTAGTGTTTATGGCCGATTTCTTGGGCCTCAGCCAGGAATCCAGATGTCAAGAAGCACCACAAGTGTCACAAGTGGGAACCAAGTACTGTGATAGTGATAGCAAGGGTCATCTTCGGATGGTAGAGACAGACTTGCCTTCATCCAAACACAACCTAGCCCAGAGTCCGAGGGTACTGTACCTGGCGCCCAGACTACTCCCCAGACCATCCATGTACGACCTTGTTATCTACATTGAGATGTTTTCAGGGCCCAATGTAGGTAGATATTTCATACATGGAGTCTCTGGGTAGTAGTCTTGGTAGTTTGGGTCTAATTACTGTGAAATTTGCAAGTTGACAGAGGAACCCATCAGTGCATCGCATCCTTGACTGCTTCACTTCAGCAACCCCTCAAAGAGCCTGGGAAGACTGCGTGACACATATGATTACACTCCCGAAAACTAACATAGACCCTGACGTCCTGGTCCCATGGAAGACTAATTTCCTCTACCAACCAGGGGTTGTCAGGTTCCATGTTAGTCTTCCAGGGTGCAAGCTTTATGACAATCCCTTCATCTAACCTTCAACAACGGACGTTTCTTTTTTGCATGCTGTCCAACATCTTCCAAAGCAGCTGGAAGGGACCAGCTTTCTTCAATCCGATTCCAGTGCTTCGGGGGATCCAGGTATTTCGGATCTCCATTTGGAAGGTAAAAAATATATATATATATGTGTAGACTCTTGATTATGAAATTACAGTTTAAAATAACAGTCCCGAAGAGGTGTTATGGTCCAATTTTGGGAGGTTCGGTACGACTGGACCCTCCAAGCCTACATACATAGTCTCCAATCACCGTACCTCAGAAGATGGCAGTGGATCCATATAGGCTATTCCATTCCATTCCACACATAGCCCGCAATGCGGGACCACTAAAAGGGTCTGAGTGCCACTACCCCGCAGGGTCTCAGGCTATACCCAACCACCTGGGTGGTGGTTTCATTCATTTGATGTTCAACCTTTAGTTGAGACATGATGGTGGTTTGGATCCCACATCCCACGACTGATCCACCTTTTGGAGCGGAACATACTCAGCACAGTCGTCCTCCGTCGTCGTTCTTTCAGTGGAACTGGCAGTTCAGAACAGACCTGCAAGGTGCCTCTTAGGGTACCGCGGGTTCTGTACGTTCTTCAGTTCTTTTTGTTGTTGGAAGAGGCTCTGTTTCAACACCCTCTTGCATGGCCTAGTAAGAATCTTGGGGATGCAACAGTAGGCAATCCGACATGCAAAACGCGAGTCTTGCCAGGGCTTCCACTTTCTCCACGTCCTAGCCAGCCACCTGAAGACCCTACAAAGCGCAGGCTTCGGGTGTTGGCTTTGCTCTAGTTGCCAGGCGAATACCAAGTATGAACAGAAAAAAGGTGTTCACGATAAAAAAAGATGTTTGGGGGGACACTGAACACCTATGTTTCATGGTTCTTGGGTCATGGTGCCAGGTTTGGTTGGTCAAAAATTCAGGGAGTTGGTTGAAGCATTGAGGACCCTACAAGGACAAATAGTTGGGTGCGTTTCCAACAATGGGGCTCCTTGGAGTCTTCTTTTCTAATCCAGTTATATATAAGCTTGGTGGCACACGGACCCACTACTTTTCCAACGGACCCACCCACCATGGGTTTTTGTCCTAAGAACAAAACCAGGTCTTTGAAGGCTGATCGTAGATGTCAGATGTAGAACAATATTCCCACAAACAGGAGCCCTCTACCAGGACCATCCAGCGAGTGTCCAATAGACTACCCCACACTACTTAGAGATCTCCATTGGACACCCTTTGGATGGTCTTGGTAATGTTCCAGCCAGGTGTTTTTAGGACTTGTTGTTCTTGGTGTGTCCAACGCAAATGCGACCCTTGACCCTTTCAGAGACAACGAGTGCAAGATGTGTGAACCAAGTTCAACCGGTGTAGGTGAACAATGCTGGACATATTCCGTAAGCTTCAGACTATCAGCTAGTTCTGTAAAGATCTGCGGGAATGAATCATATTGATTTCGGAATCATTATATAATACATGAGTTCATAATATTTTTTATGCTAAGACAAGTAGAGGCTTTGGAACCTTTACACCAGTCCGCCTCTGATACCGGACTGCCAGTCCGCCTCGCAGCCATGGGCCAACCTTTTCCACTATGGACTTCAAAGGATGGAAGAAGCGAACATGCTCGGGGTCTTCCGGTGATTCTTCCGAACAACGCCAACACATCAAAGATCCATGTAGTCATGCGGTGGCAACTAGACCGCCTGAACTTACTCATGTTGAAGACCGCACTTCTGGGCTGCTGTGTGTTACTCGCTTCATGTTGAGTCACTGTTATCACTGGCGCCTCAATTCTTTGTTGATCCCCTAAAAACGCATTCAATGACAGGTATGACTGACTAGCTTTTGTTGGGGGAGTGTGCTCACAAGTTGAGTGAGTGCGGTTGGTTTTGTTCAGGGTTGAACGTTAAGGGGATTGTTGGTTGTGCGACGGGTGGTGTGCTACCCCATGCTGTCCCCGTTGGTGACGGTGAGGCGAACTCTGCCTCTCCTATCCGATAACCAACACTTTGGTGGACATGATAGAAGCATTAGCAGCCTATTATTATTTCCATATGATTCCCATATATCATATCGCCGATATGAACACCACAAACCCACAAACCCGTGGCGATAACCTGGGTTTCGGCGATTTGGTCCTCTCTGCAGATCGATTTCTTTCGGTTTACTTGTCATTCTCCGTCTCAGCTGCAGGTATTTGTACCTCTCTGGTCGCTTTAACACGGACAAGAAGTTCTGGTACATCCAGAGGCCGGGGAAAGAGGGTCCGGGGGGTCCATGAGAGGTCGGACGGGCAGGAGTTTGTGTCGATTTCTTGAAGGAGGGAGAACAAATTCGGAGAATAGGTAATTAACAAACTAGTATTGAGAAAGGGTGTCCCATTACCTCTGACAGTCAGCATCTAAGATGATCACCAGTATTTTTGAGAAAGGTCTGGAACCTGACCATCACCATCCACATCCATCCACTGTTACTGGGAATGGGATATACCTCTTGTCCTGTTGTTGAATTCAACATATACAATGTCTTTCAGATGGTTGCCAACAAATTGAGGGAAGGCTCGAAAGATCAACGCAGCAGCTGACCCAACATTCCTGGAATATGGCAAAGGTACATGGTTTCGCGGGGGATTGTGTCAAATTTGAGGGAAGATGAGACCTAGCTTGACCGTCCCCGTTTCGGCGTACGAACCAGACTCCCTTAGTGTGTTTGGTTTAGAAGGGATTTCTGGAGAAAAAACAACTATATATAAAGGTGAAACCCCACGGCCAAAGGACCAGGCTGGACAGCGATTGGCTGCTAGGGATTGACCCATCTCGGAGAGAGGCGGACAGGCTTCTCAGGCTTCGCAGATTCATGGATCGACCGATCCGTCGGATTTGGTGCTTTTTACAAACTGGACGTTCCATCCGGTGTTCCACGGTGCATGATGGTGTTGGTGCTGGGATCCCTATCTCTCTCTTGCAGAGTTGGCCAAAGAAACCTCCGAGCTTTCTGGCATCTTGACACAGCACGGTACTTTCTAGCTTCATCCCAACCATTTGCTTTCAGCTTCTTCAGATTTTCTGACCCTACCCACAGGACGCCCACTGACAGAAACCCGAAACCAGTTTGAACACGCCGGCCCGCCCCGTCTCAAGATGGTCAGAAATTACCATTCTTCTTCTGCCAGGATCAAAGACTTGCTGATCGCCCACGATGTTCCGGCCTTCACCTGTGAGCCGGTGCCCGGAAAGGATCTGGACACCGTGACCAAGGCGCGAGTAGGGTAGGGTGCTGCAGTAGCGCGGCTGCTTGCGTTCCAGATATGTGTGACATAATTTGAAGGGGGTCTAGAATCTGATGGGAAGATACCAGAGGAAGCATGGGATATCCAGTGGTGGGTCTCATGTCAGCTGTCCACAGAGCCGATCGAACAAGGGTGCATGTTGCGGTACGAAAACAGCGGAAGCAGATGCCCGGATGTACTTTGAGGCTGGCAGATTCCTTATGTGTTGAGGTGCTTGTTCCATCTTTGCATCGATGGCTGGCTTGGGCACTGCAAAAAGCATTTCCAACAAGAAAGAATGGGCACGGCTCTGCACTCGCATCCGAATTCCGTGCATGTACAGTTTCTGTGGATCTCCTGGTATCCAACAAAAAAATGCGATCAAGAACTGGGAGTGGACTGCTAGTTAGGCAGGTACGGGGTTCATGAACATTCCAAAAGCAACCCTGCTCGCCCATGTGGGCCGTGAGCATGCGCTGCCCAATTTGCTTGGTGCAGCCTGGAATCACATCAAAAGACCTTCATGCCAACGCCAAGCCGGGCTTGACTCTAGCAGTATGCCATACAGTTCAACACAGCCTGACTGCAGCACAGACCGTCAGCTGGGCAGTTCAACAGACGTCCGGAGTTTTGTCACGAAGTTGCTGATCCATCAGGTCGACCCGTTTCCCGAAATTTGAATCTTTGAATACCTCACACTCTATTCGTTCAGGGCTTTGCAGTTAACCCGCCATCCCTTACCGCAAGATACCCCAACCACTGTCCTCTATTCTATTCATTAGTCCTATGATGACTATGTCTTAAGTTAGTTTCCTTTGTAACAGGGACGGACCAAAGAACTGACCGACACAGGGAAGTTGACGACCCCCACAAGAAAAAGTATATAGTATTCTATTGCGCAACTTCTTCCGCTGATCGATCTCACGCAGGAAGGTCTTGCTGCGGCCAAAGTGCTGGTGGCCTTTTGCTTCGAGGAGCGGGACCTGAGAGAGCCTGAACGAGCCTGTGCCTCTACCCGCCCGGCCCGTGGGGAACGCCCCGGCCCGTGGATTTTCCGATATAACCCAGGAAGTGCGTGGGATCACCTGCACGTCACCTTTTTTGTGGGGGAGGATGGGAGACACCCCACTATATATAAACATGAACTAGGTGGAAGCACGAGAGTAGTCGGTCTTCTGTTTCGGGACTGGGAGCGGGCGTTGGAGGTTCCAAGGAGCGCTGAAGGCGCTTCATCTGGGACTATACCTCATAGTCATGACATGTCATGACCCTCGATGTGCTGCTCGTCAAACACTAGAGATTTGACTCTCACAAAGTTGGATCTAAATAAAGGAATCCAGACTGTCCTTCATAGTGGAATACTTACCGTTGTGTCGTTGAGGTGGTGGCCAAAATATGTCAATGTCCATTGGACATTGGACAAGGAGAGGTTTAGCTTCGTGTTTGCCCATGTTTTTGGACTCAAAGTTTTGATGGCGTACCCTGCCTTCATGAATCATACATAATTAGATTGCCCGGTCCCTCTTTTTCTTTTGCAAACACGAGCGTGTCCAAAAAAATCACTGAAGAGCTTGGATAGAGGCTCCAAAACTCTTGACTTCCAGCTTCGTCAAAACAGTGAACCTTTGGGTGAAGTGAAGTACCTCGCTGGACCCGGTCGGGGAACGAGCGGCGGTTGGGGATGATCCGCTTTCTTCGAACAAAGCGTCGTGGAGGACTATGGGGAACGGACCTTTGGGCTGAACTATGAGACCTTTGATGAGCTGAAGCTGCTCGGAGTTCAGAACAGGCTTGTGGTGGCATGGGAGGATTGTCCATTCCAGGAATATTTACATACATTGGAGGTGGTTGAACAGGGGTCAATGTAGCCACATACATAAATGGAGCATCTTGGGTATGCTTCTTGGGCTCGGCCTTAGGCTTCACTGTAATTCCGTGTCTAAAGAGTTGTTACTTCTGAAGTGGAACAGACCAAAGGAAGGTTGCCTGCCGCAAGCCTGGCCCTTCCTCGATGAGGAACACAGATTGTGAAGGAACAAAGTCCCAGAAATAGGACCAGCTATTTTTCACTTCCCTCTTCCAGAGATCCACTGGCTACATGTTGGACTTGACACTTAAATATGCCGAGAAAACATGTTTGACCATTTGTCTAGTATACAATTGTCCCGATCGTCCCAATTCCCGTATCACAAACGTCGAGAGAAGCAGCCGAGAGTAGCAGCTTGTCACTTCAATGCCATGGGCTGTACATAGATCAACAAGGCATGTCATGCTCTGCAAGTAGTGGGGATTGCTAGATCCCATCCAAACACCGAGGAAAGTCTTGGGACATTAGTTCACATTCCAGGACATATATGGACATCCATTCTTTTGCATGAAGCAACGATGCATTTGTTTGGTAGGTGGATGTATGTGGATAGAACAAATACACTGTCTATCATCGTTTTATGGATGATCTATTTTTGGTAGTTACTTTGGTTGCAACGATGCTCCAACCAATATAGTGAGTGGAATATAATCTGCCAAATTGTTCTTTGCCTTGGCTCTCCCTCTTCAGGAACATCTGCACAAGTGCTCGTTAAAGATGCATCACATACCTACGAGACTGCACGGTGTTTGAGTAGACCAGGGACCAGACTGTTTGTTGTGTTTCCAATTCTTTTAAAGCTCTTCCAACACGAATTGTAGCCGCCATAGGGATGTGATAAGATACCCTATATCCTCTTAGAAGCACCTCCCCTGTTTCACGGTCCCTTATTGCTCTCTCCTCAAACAATCTATATCAAACCTCAGAGCCAAGAGCCGGCTCCGCCGTTTTGGCTCTTATCCAGTTCGGCGCCCCACCCGGCAATTCCCCACACAGAGCCAGCGCGCTTCTGTTCTTCTCAGCAAACAGCTCAGGTACGCCCGGGCACAGAAGTTGAAGATCATCCCCGTGAAGCTCTCGGGGATCTATCCTCCCCGCCCCCCGGGCGAGGGCGCCGCCCTCAGTACAGCTCCGGGCGCTCTACCGGTGTTCGACTGGGCAGACGGGGCAAAAAGCGGAGGATTTTTCATGGTTTTTCACCGGAGCCGATGCTGCAGGATTTGCACAGTTTCCAGCCTGCGTTGTTGCGGAACATGAGAAGCAATGTCAGCAGCAGCATGTTTCAACAAGGGCAATGACCACGCGAATATACGCTGCTTATTGTTCAGTAGCATTCATGTCAGGACGGCGCTCAAGCAAGAGTTCACACAATCCGTAGGTATCCGTTAAGTAGCGGTTCCGTGGAGATCATGATTCCTTTTGACTAACTGGTTTGCTTTCTGTAGCACCAAGAGCCATGGCCACCACATCATCGGAGTCTCGCAAGATGGACATCAGGCCGGGCGGGACTAGTGAAAGAGCTTGGCCCGCACCGCAGTCAAAGACTATTATATACACCTAATCAATTGGAACCCATGTGACATCATGTGACCTTTGTTATAGGAAAAGACCATGTGACCTGGCGGCCAAAACTGATGTCCAATCAGGTTCTAGGGCCTACATCTTCTATCATGTTTCGGGGACCATCTGGAACCGTCCGGGACCTCCGGCGCTGCACGCGCACGCGGAGTGCACGCGCGGTGTGGACAGGGAGCTCTCCCACCGAGTGCACCAGCTGAGCGCGCGTGAAGAGTTGATGCTGACGGCCTCGAAGTTGGCTTCGGTGCCGGTGGAGGAGGTCTCGGAGTTCGGGAAGGTCTTCCCCGAGCCCGGGCGGACTTCGGGCGGCGGACTCCGTGGGGGGCGGAGAGGAGGTGTTTGTTGAAGGTGTTTTTTGCTGGAAGAAGCAGCCCACGGTGTCCAAGAGATCAAATAGGAGGTGGGTAAGGATGCTCAGATGTTGAAGTGATTGGCCAATTGCCTGGGCAAAAAAGCTGCGTTGGGCCCAACGCAGAAGGTGACTTGAAAGACTTGTCGAAGTCAAGTTAGAACTATCCGCTAAAGGTATAACGACATCGCTGAATCATCGCGATATCCATCCGCACAGCTGAGGATCTGGAGCTAAGTTCCAAATCCTGCCGCGCAGGGCTGGTGCGTTTCCTCTTCGGGCGCTATTTGCATTATACCTTGCTCGTTCTGCTGGGGATCGACCCTCGGTGTGGTGTCCCGTGCGTCCAATCGCGAAGCTGGAGTCTCAGTTCGTACCTCAGAAAATTATGAGTACATAATTACTATGATACTAGTACATATATACTATAAACTATACATGCATATATAAGTATACATGTGTTTTTTATTATTGTGTTTTGTTTACAAGAGGGGTAATGTTCCATTTTCTGAGGTAAGTTGAAGTCGGGTTACCCGGTGTATGTAAACAGAACCGGACAGGACCCACCCTCCATGGCGCGTGTTTTGATGGCGCCGTCTCTTCTCTTTTTTGGGGTCGGTGGAACTCAAGTAGGGGGGTGAACTTGGAACTTTAAAACAAGTTGGTTTATTGAACTTTTTTTGAACTCTTGCGGCCTCAGACACCTCTTTTCTTGCTTGTGCAATGGAACAAAGACTTTGAACTCTGGACTTTGAACCAGGTTGCTTCAGGTTGCTTCAAAGGGTTAAACTTGAAATCTTGAAGGTGTGAACTTAATCCAGATTGTTCAGCGGAGTCTGAGCTCCTGAACGCTCGCGAAGCCAGAACCCATCCAGCTTTGCTGCTGCGACGAACAGGTGATATGAGGTGACAGTTGTAAAGCTATCCCACTTTTCATTTTGTTAACCCCGGTGGGCCCGGGCGTCCTACTTGTTCCTTTAGGATTCCAACTACCATTGTTTTGATATGTCCCAATGGTCTTTGCTGACCAACCATTGTTTTATTCAGGATTGTAGACCATCACGCCAGGTCAACCATTTTTGTAAATGGCGTTTGAAGGCTATAGGGTCTTGAATTTATGTCACGTCCGTATGTGCTTCCAGGATGTGCTGCTGGTGGTGGTGGGCTTGCAGCTGCAAATCGAGATCGCCTCATTGCAAGGCGCTCGATGTTTCTGCAAATCGAGTGGTTGATGTGGTTGCTGTGTGTGGAAAGAAAGGTCTAAATAAGGAAGGAAGAAAGGAAGGAAGGAAGGACTTGAAATCGGCCCAGTTGGTCAAGACTGACCATCTCCAACCCTCACCCCACCAGGCTTTGGGAGGCGGGCGTTGGTGAGTGGAGCAGAGTGGCACATGCCAGCTCAGTCAACACAAGAACCTGCAGCTCAGCAGACAGCCCTTGGGCAAAACTACACAAAAAGAAGCAAAAAGGGAGGACTAAGCTAGAAGAGCCCTTGTTTTTTCCGGAGGCAGCAAACCTTGCAACAGGTTGTTGGTTCTGCCATACAGTAGCCGTTGCCAGTCGTAGTCTCGTTTTCTCCGTGCCGTGAACTCCACGAGTTCCACCTCGCGTTTGGGATCGACGTCGCCAAGCAACCCAGATCTTCCAAGCGAGACAGGAGAAACAGCCGGAAGCTGATGAACTGGCGGTAGTACACTGTTTGGTCCCTTTCTGATGGAACAAGCTGCAGCCATAAGTATTAAATATATGCTAGGGCTCCAACCATATCCTCAGAAGGTGGTTAGACCCCCCAAACCTACTTGCTAGAGCGGGGTATCTCCAGGTCAATCCCACAATGAGAAATTCGCTGTATCAGGACAGCACCAGCTTAATCACCTCTGTTTGTAACCCCGACCGGAGAACAAGAACAAAATGAGTTGACAACAATATTGTATAATAAGTAGAAATAACCAGAATGATCAATGTAGATGAAACTCCCAACATGGGAGTTGAGGGAATTTGAACACGTCGCGTGTTCCATATTTGTCACTATAGAAATCTCTTCAATAGACGTAAACGAGACAAAACCAGACGCAACCCGACGTGTTCAACCAGGTTCATTCCTTCAGGAACCGACTGCCGACTGCCGACCAGGAACCGCTGTCACCAACTGCTTCATCGATGCAGTGGAGCCTGAAGGGCCGCATCACATTATGACGAGCGTGGAGGACTGGACGGCATCCCGTGCGAAGACGCGTGAACGAGACTGGTTTGATGGGGACTTGAACCAGTCAGTCCAGGCATGTCCAGGCCATTGATTGTAACCGAGTTGGACCAGTTTGACCCTTTTCCACTGTGGTAGACTTGTTCTTCACAGTTGGGTATTGCCTTCAGTTCCTTCAGTTCCTACTGGGCCTACTTCGAAACCTGGAGAGCTACGTGTCAGGACGCGCAGGCCTGTGTGGACGACCAGCATACGTATCATGTGGCCAAACAGTTTGCTGAAGTGGAACACATCTTTACATTCGTGACCAAGCTGACCAGCTGAGCGAACTTGTTGCATACGAAAAAAACAACATAACAATGGTCTTGTTGCATACCAACCTCATTCAGATCGCATAAGGGACAATCAGTGCCTTTGTGCGTTGCCCCCCCCGAGATCTATGGGTTGGAACGGATACGGTATTGTGTACTGTTGGAACAAAAGATAGGTGAAACTGCCATATCTTGAATGGATCCTTTGTCTAGATGATTGAGTCGTATCTTGAGGCTTTCGTGGGCGGGTAGTATTTTTGTCCGATGTTGGTTTCAGTTGTTTCAGAGGTGGTTGTACTAGTCCAGAAGGCTACGTTACACTACCTTTAATGAACATCATCCTCTTGCCAGATTTGTATGTTTGACGCCAGTATATACGTTCCGTGTCCTTCGAAGGCAGAACATCCAGAAAATAATCATCAAAGACTATCCAAGCCTTGTGTGTTGGACCGCTTTGAGCCCATTACACCAAAGACTTCGCTCGCTCCAATTGGTCGAACATGGATCAGAACCTCGACTTTGACGAATAGAAAACACAAAGAGTAAGGGGTGTCCATATCGGGTGCCACAAACATTGTGTTTTGCTTGGAACAGCCTACCCCACACTGCCCAACAAACACCAGGAACATGTGAAGAGGGATGAACTCGTAGGGGCCTTGTGAGATGACCCTGCAGACATGCAAGGATGAGAAGGAAGTGCTCTTGTTCCCAAATAGCAAACAACAGGAAAACACAAAACTACATCAAGGGCCCACAAGACGTTCGGCCCCGAGGTGAGCGTGGTGATTTTGGGTGTTTTCCTGATTGAAAACATCCTTTTCATGGTGGCCTTTCGGTGGAGCTCCCTGGCCGCACAAAGGATCGACGCGGCGCTATGACGCGCTCGATCCGCTTCTCGTTCCTGTTCGGGTTTGGGCCCTCGAACTCCCGGACAGCGCCTGGTTTGGGACAGGACAGCAGTCATCTTGCATCTCGGGGGGACAGTTTTTAGTAGACCGGAGGATGGGCTGTTTGCTGGAGGCCAAGATACCGGGCTGTTTGCTGCTGTCTTATTTTTTGATGGAGGCCATGCAGCAATTGTGTCTCTCAAGTTTGGGATAACTAGGTAGGTTTAAAGGTCCAAACACAGGTGTTGCTGCCTTTGGACAGGCAGCATTTTGCTTGCCATTTGTTTTTTTTTCAGCACCAGAGCTGGGTGCTTTTGCTGAAAACCACCATGTTCCAAAGAGCTCAGCTTTCGGCTCCAGTTCCACAGGATACTTCAAGCTCTGGTTCTTTCCCCTGGACCTCTTCGTGGTCCTTTTGTCCTTGACCGCCGAGATCGGCCAACTCAGCCACCACGGCACCTTTCTTCGAAGCCGTGCGTCAGGTCTCATGCCAGGAGGGTGATCCCAAGTACACCAGGGCTGAGATCCAGACTGTGCGCTTTCTAGTAGCAAGAAGCTACTAGTAACAAGGGCATCGCTACTAGTAACAAGAAGCTACTACTAGTAATATGCTTTCGTACACGTGCGCTTTCTTACATTTCTAAGATTTTGAAGCTCCAGCTTCATGAGAGCTGACTCCTCGAATGATGATCTCACGAGTTCACTTCTGAAATCTGCTGAAGTAATTAGACTTTTTGGTGGAAAGCAGTCAAAACAACGGTATCTAAGTTATTCTAAGTGTTT